GAAGTTGTTGCACAAAGGTTTAGATTCCTAATGATGAGATAAAATGGCCTCAAGCCCAACAATGAAAGGCATGCTATTAGCAGTATGCTGAAAGAATAATACTTGAAATGTCTAAAAAGTTAATGTTGAGTAAATAGTACTACTTCCAATCTGAAGAACAACAGCAATTCTATAAAGAGCCATTATGAAAAGACAAGCAAAATGCTTTTCATTATGACAAGTGTGATATTATATTGTGGAGATCCTGGAGGATCCAAAACCTCCAGTTGCCCTCCCTGGTCCTGGGTAACTGGGGATAAGCTACCTGAAGTTTCCAAAACCCTCAGGGCAACTTACAAAAATAGAAAGAAGAAAAAAAGAATATAATCAAGCAAGCCTGTGTTCTGGGGACACCCAGATTCTCTCTCTCTTCATCCCTGACTCTCAGCCTATGGGGTTTTGCAGGGTTTCATATTGTCACCCATGCTGTTTTGCATCTATATGAAGCCCCTGAGGAAAGTCATCTATGGATTAGTGACATCAATATGCAGAGAGCATTTCTCTCTCTCTATGTATATACCCATAATATGGGTGGTCAAGAGTTCTGTGGAGTTTCTAACATTTTCTGCCGTGTATAACGTTTTAGAAATAGTTATAAATGTCATTGTTGCGTTTTATGGGCTTGACAGACAAAGCGCATGTAAAAATAAAACCAACAGATATTTTCCTACTTGTAATAAAGCAAAGTTTAGCTGCAAGTGAACCATGATAGCGTGTTTTGTTTGTCCCACAGAAATCTGTGGGAGCCGCTGAGTCTCCCCCTATCTCCACAGCTCTACCCCATTTTGAGAACCAAAAATTGGCACGTGTAATATACATGACTATCAAAATGCCATGTTAAAGAGGAAAAAATTGGGAGAGAATGTATACCACAGGAACCATGGGTGTGAAAGAGAGACCTTATTTTCCCATATGGTTCTTGCTGGTGGGGGTGAGGCCTTCTCGTAACATGACTGCGAGACAGGCTTACTCCCCACTGCAACTTCATCCTAGTAAGGTTTTCATTTTTCCCCCTGGGACTAATTGACTGTCATCCATTTCCACCCCCTTGTGGCAAGATCTAAGACTGCAGGCAAGAATGTGACAAATCTGATGCTCTAACCACATTTGGCCATACATTCACCACACAAAGATCGGGAGTAGAATATTTGTGGCAACTTTCTAATATAAAAAAATGACCAGCATAACTGGGAATTGTTAGCTTGTAAAGCAATCTCTGGCACCCTGAGAATATTTAAAAACGAAATCCTATTTCAATATGTTAACAGATTGCAATTTATATTTTCCAGTCATAGACTTGCCAGAAGAGCTCTTCAAAATTGTTGTCCATATTATTGCTGAGGAAACTAGTGCCAGCAGAGGACTATCATCCAACCAATTCTCCAAGCAACCCACATAATGCCTGGAGTATTTTATTCTATTGCCTTCAAGGGATCAAATCTCCAAACTCCATCTAAATTGTGTTTGCTCTTAGATTCTGTTGGACTACTTTAGGCATCCCATTCAAATTACATTCCACTAAAGGGTCCCACTGACTGACATTGCATTAACTTCCAATCTAGCATTGCTAGGATCATAGACTGGGGCAGACAAAAAGTGTACGCAGAAGTTTTTAAAAACAGTGGCACGATCACACAAAAAATACAGCAAAATTGAAACATTCTGTTTTGGCAAGGGGAGATCACTACTTCTTGCAGAACACTATACAGTGGTACCTCGGGTTAAGTACTTAATTCGTTCCAGAGGTCCGTTCTTAACCTGAAACTGTTCTTAACCTGAAGCACCACTTTAGCTAATGGGGCCTCCTGCTGCCGCCAGAGCACAATTTCTGTTCTCATCCTGAAGCAAAGTTCTTAACCCGAGGTACTATTTCTGGGTTAGCAGAGTCTGTAACCTGAAGCGTCTGTAACCTGAAGCATATGTAACCCGAGGTACCACTGTACCTCTGTTGACACCTCTGTTGACACTGTCGACACCTCCACAGAATTGTTTTGGGTGGCGATACCAGGGCCCAAGAGTAATTTTATGCTGGGGACGTTCTACTGTCCACTTGATCAAAATTCTCAAGAGATCTTGAGGAGAAGAATAAAATCAAGAAAGCCTCTACAATAGGAAATGTTGTAATGGGTAACTTAAAGTACCTTCACACAAAACAACCTACATATGTGCTGGTCTGGACAAAGGCGTAAAATGGTCCTAGAACAGTTGGTCATCGAACCGACCAAAAATCCAGCAAACCTGGATCTAATCTTGAGGAGCACAAAGAACTTGAGTTGAGATGTAAGTGCTGTCAAGCCTATTGGGATAAGTGACCATAGTGCTTATAAACTAAACATACATTTAAATGGACAATTGCCAAGAAAACTGCTCTGACTCTCACTGGATGAAGAACTCAAACTTGGACTTTGGTTTATGCCCAAATCTTTAATGCTGAAATAGGTATTGTTGTGTTTTTGTTTTTATTATGTATTCTGTGCTTTTATCTTGCATTTTTATGCTGTGAACTGCCTTGAGATCTTCGGATGAAGGGTGATATACAAATTTTAATAATCACAATCGTAGGCAAGGGTTAAAAGCCACAGAAGGTGAATGGTAGTACTAAATGCAAGCTAAGACATTGATCCAACAAGTTACCGTATTTTTTGCACCACAACACTCACTTTTTTCCTCCTAGAAAGTAAGGGGAAATGTCTGTGCATGTTATGGAGGGAATGCCTACGGGTGGCATGCCTACGGATTTTCCTCCTCTAAAAACTACGTGCGTGTTATAGAGCGAAAAATACAGTACATGCCCCAACTTTCTTTTGATGAGCAAGGTGAGCACAACCTTCAGCATAGCAAATGGCAAGATTTCCAAGACTGGGCGAGCAATCAGGTTGTTGCTGTTGTTGGTTAAAATAATGGAATTGTAAAGTTGGAAGGAACCCTGAGGGTCATCAACTAAAGCATCCATGACAGATGGCCATCCAACCTCTGCTTAAAAACCTCCAATGAAGGAGAGTCCACAATGGCCCGACAGAGTCTGCTCCACAGGGTCAGCAAACTTTTTCAGCAGGGGGTCGGTCCACTGTCCCTCGGGCCTTGTGGGGGGCCAGACTATGTTTTAAAAAAAAAGAAAAAGAATGAATTCCTATGCCCCACAAATAACCCAGAGATGTATTTTTTTAAAAAGCACACATTCTACTCACATAAAAACACCAGGCAGGCCCCACAAATAACCCAGGGATGCATTTTAAATAAAAGGACACATTCTACTCATGTGAAAACACGCTGATTCCCAGACCGTCCAAACTCTCTCCCATGCTGCATAAAATATCGCATACAAAGCAGGGCCCTCTGATACCTCGGTTTTTACTGTTAATATGTTATTTGATTCCCTTTTGATCCTTACAGTATATTGGAGAGAAATACCTAGCATGAGAGCAAGTGAAACCAACTCACCGCATTCAGGATTCAATTTACACCATTTAACTACTGAATTAAATTTAAACAGGGACTACCCATTTCTTGAAATCTGCAAGAATCATATTTGTACTCCTAATTAAGAATGCTACCAAGTTTAAGCCCAAAGTTCTTGGTGTTGGGTTTCGTTTTTTTGGGAGTGACTTAGGAACATTTGTTTTGTGGTCCACCTGATTCTAGACATCACTGGGATCCTAAGGATGCAATTCTACACAAGTTTACGGGGAATAAGTCCAACTCAAGAGCTTGTTGCTGAGTAGACAAGGCGCAGGACTGCACCATAAGGGGCAGGGATACTGTAGTGCCCACAAACCTGAAAATAATGTGCATTCAGCTGCTACATACAGGCTGAGGCTATACCAGCACAAGCTCTCTGCATTGCACTACACTGCACTGCTACTAGCTCCTGGATTATTCCATGAGAAGATATGTTATGGGCTCAGAGAGCTTCATCCCTAGATGCAGTCTAGAAAGCAACCTAACTAGAGGCGTCTAACACCTGGCAATCACTGCTGATGCCCAACAGATTCTTGAGCAGCTTTCTGCTCTTTGACTCCCAACTCCCATGAGTACCAACCAGCATGGCCAACTGTCAGGGATGAGGGAGCTGTAATTAGCAACATCTGGAAAGCAGCGAAATGGGGAGGCTGATTTAGGAAGGTAACTGATTTAAGTCTGCCTGCTTCTGCTCAATTCTGGAAATGTGTTCCAATTTTGCCGGACTTGTCCCAGAAGAGAACGAATTGCTTTTGCCCATTAAGCTTTTGCCCTACTCTTGGAATACACACACGCCAAAGTATAAATACATTTGTTTCTGACAATAAAATAATCAGGTTCAGAATTAAGGAAGGACAGGAAAAGGTGTTACAGAGTACGATAGATTCCGGCGTATTAGGCAACTGGGCGTATAATTAGATCCCCAACTTTTGCTGTTCAATTTTAGAGTTTTAGAGTTATAGAGTTTGAGCGCCGCCAGGGGCAGAGAGCGCACCCCTCTGCCGCCTCTGCCACTGCAGCAGCCCGAGGCGAGGCGTTTGGCGGGCAGGTGGGCGAGCGCTGCGCTCAGAAGGACTTTCTGCGTCCCCTTCTGTGGGGAGGGAGGAGGAGCGATGGCAGAAGGGGCGCCTCTGCTCACCAGCTCCCTCTCCTCCTTCCCAATGCATATACCCGGTGTATAGGACGACCCCCGATTTTTGGGGTGATTTTCCAGGGATAAAAAGTCGTCTTGTACGCCGGAACATACGGTACTAGGAACTGTGCTCCAAATACAGCATATTAGGAGTGTATGACAGGAACCATGGTCCATGATACCACAAAGCAGACCGGTTGCTCGATGACCAACTACACCCCCCCCAAAAAAAACCCCAGCTGTCTGATACATCCCCATCCAGAGGACAAGAGTGGACCACTTCCAGTGGATCAGAGCAACTTTTAATTGTGAGCATAAAAGCCAAAGTACGATTGTTTCTTTAGTTAGATCCAGACTGCAACCAACTTACTTTTCAAGGTGGACACCAACGAGGGGAGAACACAGGTTTCCAGTAGGCTTTGCTAGACCCAGGGACACAATGGTCTCGAGTAGCCGATTCACCACTTCAACGTCGTGACGCATGGCGGCACCATTAATAATGTGGAAAAAGGATGTGGCTGATATAGATTGAATAGGGACATCCTTCTCTTTCATCTCCTTTAAAATGTTAATAGCATCTACAATGAACCACCACAAAAGACCCTTAGGTAATTTCATGTACAGAGAAAACAAACTGCTATTAAAACAGCATTTCAAAAAACCAGCAGGAATGTAAATTCTGGTGTATAATGCCAATTTCAAGTTAATTACTACTTGCATTTCTAAACGAGACTACAATTATGAATCCACAATAGCATGGTTTTATCATTTTGCTGCAACTTTGACTACAAATTACAGATAGGAACTGTGTGCCCACTCTGCACTACGTAACCCTGTAGAGTCTGCCCTATAGCAACAAGATCCTACTAAATGGATGCTTTTATCGTTCAGTGCTAACATCTGCTAAATCACACCATTGTTTCTTCAGCAGATGGCTTGTCACGAGGCCAGATAATAAAGATGTGTTTACACTGTATATACAGCCAGACTAATGGTCTGATACCGATAGGGCCTGTTTGCTGTGTCGATACTAATTAGCCAAGGAGAGCCAATGAAAGCTTTCTAAGAGAGTGCATGTTAAAACATTAGGTTCATTAAGCTTCATTAAGAAGGCAGAAACAAACATTTTGGTATATGGAATAAGTGCATTTTTTTGTAATGTTCTTAATTATTGCACAGGCAAAATGTTTTGACCACTTTACATAAAAGCAGGGCTCATCTTTTGAAACTGCCTGCTGCATGCAGCGCGCTGTGTGCTTCAGAAAATCAACACAATGCCACCTTTTAATTGCACAGGTAGCCACAATCTGGTTTTATCATGTTTTGGGGTGAAATCTCACTCTAACAAACAATCCAAATCTATTATGACACCCTTTCAATTAAAGGAATTGGAAATAAATTTTCTGTTTAATAGAACAAATGCCAATTATAGTTGGTTAGTCAGAAACAGACTGTTTTTTCCAACCTCTAATTAGTGGTGGTGATAGCCTAGTTTATAAACTTTATCGATTACTAAATACATACCGTTTACACCCAAATGCATTAAATACATTTACAATTAAAGATCTGATTAATTTAACAATATTCTTCAGTTGTTGGTTATAAAATGTTACATTAATAATATACAAAAGGCAAATTTAAGATCTTAATATTATAATACATTTATTAAAAAGTTAGAGGGTGGCTTTTTTTTCCTGAAGTGCTTAGACCCTTTACAAGGAGGTTATGTTTATAGGCTTTATGCTAAGACTTCAGACCTTCTTAAGCAAAAACAAAGCCATTAGTCTAGGCACATACGCAATTTGTGCCATAAGTCATGATCTTCAAACTCAATCCAAACAGCAATGCTAATAAAAACTAGCTGCAGAAATGCAAAAAGCACTGAGCTGTGCAAATGTAAATGACAAGCTTGCCAATCCATTAAAACTAATGGCCTGCACTGTCCAAGTATCTCTGGTTGAATTCACATGCAAATTTGTATGCAAAATGTTCAAGCACTTTGCAGGACATGATATACCATTAATATCAACTCATATTTTTATTCCGGTGGCAAGATACCTTCATTATATAGCAAAAATATACACTGAAAGAAAGAGCACTTACCTTCTACTCTGCCATATTTGCTCAAAACTTTCACCAAGGCTAAACACTTGCCCGCATCAAGAGCAATAGATGAATCTTTACGAGTACTGGGGTATATAAAAAAAAACCTGCATCAACTCCATTTGTGCCAGAATATAATAATCTCACAGCGCAATCATGTAGATGTTTACTTAGAAATCAACCCCACTGTGTGCAATGGGTCTTACTCCTGAGTAATTCAGTGTGCAATTAGGAAGTAAATTTATTTCTGATATATCATGGAGGCATTGGCGCTATGAAAGGATGCACTGCTTTTTGAAGACCTTGGGTTGGAACCACAGTTACATGAGTGGAAGGCCTGGAATGTGGTGTGGGAGCCTGCAATGGGAAGAGGGTATCTGAGAAAATCAGGAGTTCCCCTTTCATGAGCAGAGCTCCAAAAACATCCAAAGACTTATTTATTCTCTCATTTATTCATTTAAAATGTTTTGCAGGATTTCCGGGTCTCAGCCAAATAGGTAAACAAAAATATGAAGAAAGTAAATCTAGGGGGTGTTACCATCAACAAAAAATAATACGTTCGATTCAGATTAAGCAACTCTTTATTTTATTATATATATAAATTTTCATAAACTTCCATCTCATAAGAAAAAAAATCATGGTGGTGTACAAAATATAATAACAAAATCGTACTTGCATGTTGGTCCCACATGTATGGGATAAGTCAGTCATGAGTGAAGGTAAATCCCATTGATGAAAATGGAAACTAAGGGTACACCATTTAGGCTATAATCCTATAGGCATTTACCCAGAAGTAAGCCGGAAAGGACTGAGCTGATTGTCCAAATCCAAACCAATGTCAACCAGTCTTGAAATTTATTCCAAGGCTACCATTTAATACTGATATCATCATCATCATCAAACAGACCACAACTTCCTCAGTTCACAAGGAATTATGGAAAGGGACCATTGCTCTTATCTGAAAGATATTTCTACGTGGTGTTGCAATGGATTCAACTGGGTTTGGCTTCCTCTACTGCTCAACCAACTGAATCCATTATACCACCAAGGAAGAAACTATGTTTCTCCAAAGAAAATTACTTATTGGAATTAACTTGCTTTTGGCATAATGCAACATACCTATTAAACTACTCTGTGCATCTTTGTAACTCATTACCTTAGTCATAATTATGGTAACAAAAGGATGAAGGGCTGTTTCTGTAGCAGCAGATGTCTTTTTATAATAAACAGAATGCTAAACTACGTACGATAGCACATTTTCAAGGGCTGCCAAATAGATCATCTTAAATAAATTGAAGGGCCAGTTCCTTCTTGGTAGGAGATCTGGACCGGTTCTTGAATGTGAATCCATATGAGAACACTGGACCTGTATGGACTGTCTAAGGCATTCATTTGTAGATAATCCAGTGAGCTGAAGGTAGCCTGAACAAATGCACTCCACAAGATCATCTATGAGCATATTGAATGAATAGAGGATCCCTTATTTTGAAACATGGCCCAGAATTTGTTCAAGAACACAGAGCTATCGAGGAAACACCTGACTTATGCAACTTGGTAATATAAGGAAGTTGTTTCACAGAAGCTAAAAAGTCTTATTTGCATCTGAGGCCTTCCTTCAGATGAGATAAATAAGTAGAGTTAACAAATATAGAGTTACAGAATTACACGCGCGCACACACACAAAATATATCTATATATGTCACCTCTACTCATGGTGCAACATAAGCATTGTTTTGGAACCTGTTTAAAACTGGGTTTTCAAATAAAGTTTAGGAATGTACGTTCATTTTAGCAACAGGAGAACCCACTGAACCTGCAGAACCCACACGTATACGTATGAAATAGAAATATAGAAGTTGAGAGAGAGGGGGGAAAAATCACACATGACTGGGCATTGGGAAAATGACTGACTTTCCTGCAGCTCACTGTTGCTAAACTCTCATCAACTGTATATCTACACTGGTCCAACATCATGCCAAAAGAGCAGAAAGAAGCTCCTAAATATGTGATTGTGTGTGTTTTGTTTTCAAATTTACCTTAACAATAAAATTAAAGAAATAAAACTAAAATACAACAGGAGGAAAAAAAATGGGGATCTGCAAAGTACTTTGCTGACAAACCAGGCAATACAGGTCTTAGCTGGGAGCTAATTTTCACAACCAAGATATTATCTCTGGAAACAGAGACTTTAAAAGGAAATGTTTGCAGACAGGTATTAGAAGCATAATGTCACTTACAAGCGCTGTAACCCGCTATACTGCAGCTACATTACCCAGCTCAGAAACCAAATCTGAATGCCAAGGTAGCTGCGAAGACCTTATCATAAACTGATGTATTAAAATACAACATAGAGCACCACTAATAAACATGTGTGTTCAGAGTGATTATATAATCATGACAACTTGTTACAACCAATCTCGAATTTCAGCAAAATATTTTTATCAGGGGAAAAGCTAATTAAAAATGTATGAGGGTTGGGCTGGGGTTTTTTTCTGTTTTGTTTTTTTAAATATTCAACCTACTTAATTCAATAAGGTCTGTGTATCAGCATAAATCTCTTTGACATCTTTCAGGGCCGGTGTACTTACAGTTCTTCTTTAAGGTTCATTGCCTCCTCTGCATTATCATGTCGACAGCACAAATGTATTAAGGCTGCATAGCCACCAACAGACATGTCCGCTTCGTATTTGGCTTTCACTTCAAGGGCTTTCTGCATATTCTAGGAGGAGCATTAAGGGAAAGATATGAACTAAAAGAGAAAAGTCCGCATGACATTTTGCATTCCAGGGCTTTGCTGCGAAACTACATTTATCTATGTATGCATAGCCTACGTGCTGCTTGTTAAAAGCCCACGTGCCTTACATTTGCAAAAATTACAGTTATTTTAGCAAGTGACCTGAACTTGTCCAATCGAAACCTTTTGTTAGAGGAGCGGTTTATATGCTTTAGTGGACATCTTAGGTAGGCACATAATTACTATTATGATTTCTTCCTTGAATATATGTTAGCATTCGTGTTCGGTTGGAAGTTTTTTTTTTAACCGTGGGCAAAAGCAGGAACGAAGTGTCCAACTTTTAAAACCCAATAAGCATGCCCATATCCTTTTTGAGGCTATTCCTTAATACATCTTATATTCCTATTAATACATCTTGAACATATGCTTATGAACAGAGGTCATGTCAAAAGCTTCCCCTGCCACTCTTCTTATATAGAGTAACAAAATGAAGCGAAACCTCTTCACGGCCTAAATTTCTGCCATTATAGAATACAAGCTATAAGGTTAACCATATTCCAATTTGCTGTACAATAATGGGCATTATGGCACAGGCACACAAACAAGAAATTGGACCAGTGTCTTGGAATACACAGCAAATTGCAGACCTACACAAAATATGAACTACAGCTGGGTGCCTGCTGATGAAGGCAAGAGCCTCTTTATCTCAGAAAGCTTTTCTCCAGCAGGAAAATGGAATTTCAATCCCCGCATTAACCACCTTGTAATATTTGACTTGCAAATGACTATTGCATGTATCAGTTGCTTGACAATCTAGATGTAAGAGACCAGAGCCATGGCTTGAAAGGACATTTGGCATGTATGATAAACCTATCACAGCTGTTACTATCATTCACTTTGCAGATTACCATTAACAGACCAGAGTAATCCCAAAACATGCCATTCAAGAGGTAACTGAAATGAGTTGACTTTTTATTTTATTTTTTGCTTTAATTGCTTTTTTGTACTTTGATATGATTTACAAGGGCCAAAACCAGAACCCTTGAAACATTATTCTCCCTTGCTTACCAGCACTATACCCCCACCTGAAATGAAGCCTAAGTACATGCAATTACATTTGCAACCATTCATCTCTGGTTATCTTTACTTGCCTCTCTCTGTCTCCCTCCCACTTTACATCCCACTGCCTTCACTTAAGATTTCAAATTCCTTGGAGCTAGGATTTGTCTTTTACTTAGTAACCATTTCCAGAGGGGTGGTCATCTTAGCAGGAAAGGGTCTTACAACCCCCTTAAAGACAAACCAATGTCAGAAATTGAGGAGGTGGTAGTGAGAGGGCAATCTCTGTGGCATCTCCCAGGTTGTGGCATTTTCTGACCTTAAGACACCTGAGATATGTGTTTTCAGGACCACTGCCCCTATGTTTGTGACTGCAATTTGTATTAACCGTTCTTAATGTTAAATTTAAAATTGCTGAATCCCCACCCTGGGGAATACTGGTGAAAGGCGGGTAATAATTTTAATAAATAACATCATCATCCTCAATAACAACATGTCTTACGCTTTTGTGGGCTAGATCCACCTTCATCAAATGCATGTCATGAAGTGGGCTCTTGTCTATGAAACATATGTCTTAAATGTTAAGATGCCATAAGGCTCCTCCTTGTTCTTTCACTAGGATTACTCTGTATACTACTACTACTACTTTATTACTTGTACTCCGCACATCTGACCTGGTTGCCCCAGCCATTCTGGTTCACTGCCACATACATTGATGGGTGTTCTATAGATAAGAGTCACTGTTGTTTATTAAAATGTAACACTGAATGCTGCAAATTCAACACACAACTCTTTCAAAAGTTACCTCTTCCGCACACAAAGCAAATATAAGCTGCTTCAAAACATCTCCAACAGGCTGGTTCTCAGCTTTCAGTTGTTCCAGTTTCTCCTCCAATTCAGGCACCCGAAGTGCAGGGAACTATGGCAAGAGAATAAGATGTTTACTAAATAAAACATCCCTGAAAACCACGTGAATTAAGAGAGAAAACATTACGACATGTGCAAGCAAGAACGTAAATTCTCTGCAACTGTTCGAGTCATAGCAAAAATGCATGACAGTTCCTTTATATTTTCAGTCTGCCTACACAAGATAGAGAAGGACAACTTAACACCAAATTTGCTGTGGTGCGTCTTCCCTCACTCAGCATGAACATGTGCAATTGCGTTGAGCTTTATGTGCTTTTACCACAGAACCGTTAAGGCAAATGCTTGTGATTATTCCTAGGACATACATTGCCCAGAACCTTAAAGAAAAAAGAAAGAGGTTTCACCATCGAGTGCAGATGCCCCATCCATGTGCCCCACCCTGGTGTGCAAGGACTTCACATGCAAGTGAGGCCAGGAAAATTTTTGCAACTTGCCCTTCCCTGCCCAAAGTGGCAAAAACATAGGCTCATAACCGTCCCTGTGAGCTGCTCTCTTTTCTAAATGGGGAAAGTGAGTCACGGCAGCTGCCTCAGGTGTTCAAGCCTGTTTCTGGGAAGGCCAAATACGCAGACGACATAGTCGAACTAACAGACATATTATGCTTCTACTGTTATTAACACTGAAGCTAATTCCAGGAAAAGGCTGAAACGTCAGCTGCGCAAGAGAATAGATACCTTGGAAGAAAAAATCCCTTTTGTATACAAAAATTATTTGATTACTAACAAATAAGCCTAGATAGCCAGTCTACTTACTTTTGATAATTCTCCGGGCAACAATGCGTCTTTATCAGTCAAGAGAATTACATCCTAAAAGATAATATATATAGTGTAAGAAAATGTATGAAATATATGGTGAATAGAATTGAAGAAGATCCCATTTCAGCAATATCGCGAAGCATGCTGTTAAGCCATAGAAAAGAGCCTCTCTGTCCCCATTTATCCTCATAGTTAGAGCTTTAAAATTCTCTGTCCAAAACACAAATGCTTCCAAATTAAATAAAAAGGAGAAGATCAATATGCTATTTTAAAAACCAGAAACGGTTCCTTTTGAATGTTGTTTCTCTCTAAACAGATCCATGGGGAGTACAGACACATGTTTTATATTGAAAGACAACATTTAATTTACCACTACAGACCTTAATTAATTCAGGAACGTGGCAGCTGTCCAGTAGGTTGCGAATACCTCTAAAGATGTTGGGAGGGATGACTATATTCTGTACCGAGAGGTGGAGAAAATTACACGAGTTTTAAAAACACAACCAAACTGAGATAATTTCTGTTAGACAAATTTCAGACATAATTTAAGTCTCCAGCACTCGCATGTCATTGAGAAGTGGTCTGGTTGTACTTAAAAGCTGCAATTTCAAATCTAATAGATACATGTCAGGCAGGACAGGCATTATGTAGCAAAAAATGAAATGGTACCATCTTCTTCAGCTGATGGAAGTATTGTCTCAACCGCTCCTCCTTGGCCTGTACCTCTGAGTCACTCATGCTGTCAATCAAGCTATAAAGAAAATAGCCAACAGCTTCTGCAGGGGGGAGGAACACAAGAGAAAGCATTCCACTAAAATTACTGACACTGTCATGTTATCAAGATTAATTTATAAGAAATCATTTTGGTGTGAGATGTCACCCTGATGAGAGGCTCTGAAATGGCAACAATGATCACTGAGGCATAGAGATTATGTGGTTTGGGAGCACATATCTAACTGGTGAGTGAAAGGAATATTAATTATTTTCAAACCCGGTGACAGCTTTTCAGTACAGAATCTATCTTCAATCTATTTTTTCTCACTGCTGTGTGACAGAAGCAGTACTGCCCAGGGCCTCTCCCCCACTCTCCTGCCCAATACCCCAAAATAGTTGCCATAAATATTTTGTCATTTATTCAAAAGGAAATAAAGAGCTTCCTAAAGCATCGCGTACACAGCACTGTATATTTCACATTATTTACCATGCTTTCTGCAGCCTAGCAAGTGAACATGAATACAATAAGGAGTATTAAATGATTTTTAACAACCAGATCCAATAATCCTGTGGAGAGCTACTTATTAGCCAATGAAAATCAAGATTAACAAAAGATGCTACATAGTGAACAGCACTAATTTTCTTTGGCACTCAAGCATAAAATGTATAGGAGCATCAGGAAGAACTAATGAGCTTTTGATAAGACATCTACTAGTGACATGTACTGCATTCTTTTTATTATTTATTAAGAGTGTTCAGCAGGTCTTAAATCACTTTATTCAAGATACTAAGTGGCATTTTGCTCTTTGATATGACAGAAAGCAATTAAAATGTTATTTTAATAGTTTTATGTTTTGTTTTGTTTTAATAGCTTTCTGAAATACAGAAAAACTTGGTTGTAGTTGTAAAGCGTTTATTTAAGGGATCTGATTATGTTATCAGTGTTGCAAGCCTTTCTGTTTTATTTAACACATGTGCAACTCTATGAATGGAGAACATTTTAATTAAAGAAAGAAAAGGGGGAAACACACCCCCCCCTTCCAAAAAATCTCACGGATTCCATAAAATATACTGTGATCATCTGGATAAAGATTTTACCCAACATGTTTTCCAAATTTCACTTTCAAAAAGAAGTAATCAGTGTTTATGGTTGTAATCCCTCAAGCCCATCATTACACAGAAGAACGGATTTGTGGATAAGTTACAATCATAGAAATTGAAACTCTACCAGTTGGTCCCGGAGGCGTCTGGCAATAACGTCCATCCTTGTACAAGAGTTCTGTTATCTGGTAAGACAGAATAATCGTACATTGCAGCCGAGAAGAAGAAGCAAGGGCAAATAGTATCTGAAATTGAATTCTACAAATAATAAAGCATCTCTCCACTAAGCTATTATTCTATGCCACATCATAGCAATTCACTCTTTAAAAAGGAAGGCTTTTTGTGTGTGTAAATATGGTATTTAAAATCAACACCAACAGCATGTATGCTGCACACCAAAATGTATATTGGAAGTAGGGGGGGGGGAGAAAGTCTTTCTGTGATTCTGTTCCTAGTGTCTTAACCCACAATAGAAAGTACTGCTTAAAGCAGTCATTAAGCACTGTCACTTTCAGGTGTTAAAATTAAGAGTCTTTATAGTTTCTCAACAGTGTAGCGTTACTTCATTTTTACATATTTGCAAATAATAATAAAAATCTGCATTTTAGATAGTACTTAATGCCGACAACACACCAGCAAAGTAGTCCACTTCTTTAAACAAAGCAAAAATATATATATTAAGGGTTATAGCCAGCTAAGCTTTACTCAAGAGTAAACCCACTGAAATTAAGGGATCTAAGTTGGGCATGGCCATTCATTCAACTGGGTCTACTTTGAGTAAGACCAACAATCGATACAACCCTAAGTCTGCAATCTTAAACACATTTACAGGGAAGTAAAGCAAGCCCAGTTGAAAACAGTAAAACTGACCTCCAAGTAAGCAGGAATAGGGCTGTATGACGCACTTGGAATGCAAAACCGAAGGTGGTCACTACATTCAGACTTGGATTTGATTTTCCTATGGCTAACTTATTTGACAGTTTGGCATGAATGAATTGTGTTTCTTCCCCAATATTAATTAGCTTCCTAAAAACACCTCCCACATTCTCCTGAAGGGTGTGTCCCCCCCCCTGCCCACAGGAGCAGATTTTGGAGGCACATGGGAACAGAGGTTAAATTAGTAAAAGCCCCCCTCCCCAATGGAAATCTCCTAGATAAAAGCCTTCTGCCAGCACAAAGGGCACCAGAGAGCACAACATTCTTTCTGTAGCTCTGACCCACTTCCGAGCTTAGTATAAACTTTGCCTCAGCAAACACCACATCTGGAGCTGTACTAGCAGCCTGATTTGCAAAACTTCATACGGGCAAGAAAACTCAGGTGATATTTCAAATTTAAACAGAAAGATGTAGATTGTCAAGATGAAGAAGACGGAAAGAAAAGGCTGTTTTGGAAAACAAGCCCCTACTTCTACATCCAAGAGCAATAAATAGAAGAAAAACAACTAAGCCAGTGTTTCCCAACCGGTGTTCCGCGGCACACCAGTGTGCCGTGAGACCTTGTCTGGTGTGCCGTGGGAGGGAGGCGGGGCGGCGGCGGCATCTCCTGCTGGATGCAAATCCAAACATGGCGGGCGCCTCCCTCGCTCCTTTGTAGGCGGACCATCGAGAGAGAAAGAAAAGGAGGCGAAAGAGCGAGAGAAGGCGCCTGCGCGGAAAGAGGAGCGAGCAGTGCGCCTGCGCGCCGCGGCGCCCGAGATCGCTTCTCCCCACCGCCCCTTGCTTCAAAAGAGGTCCGGGGACAGCGGGAAGCGCTTCGCGCTGCCCCTGGACCTCTTTTGAAGCAAGGGTTTGCAGGGAGAAGCGATCTCCCCGCAGCCCCTTGCTTCAAAAGAGGTCCGGGGGCAGCGGGAAGTGCAGCGCTTCTTCCCCGCTGCCCCCGGACCTCTTTTGAAGCAAGGGGCTGCGGGGAGATCGCTTCTCCCGGTGCTCCGAAGCGGGGGGGCGGGAACCTCTCCCCCCGCCGCCTGGCATCGGAACGATGCCCCGATGCCGGGCGGTGGGGCGGGAACCTCGCACCCCGCCGCCGGGCATCGGAACGAGGTCCTGGACCTCTTCTGAAGGCAGGCGGGGGCAAAAGTCTTTGCTCCCCCCGCCTGCCTTCCCGGGACAGCGGAGACTTCTCCGCTGCCCCGGGCGATCTTAAAATGCTGGCGGGTGGGAGCGAAGCGTTCGCTGCCGACCCCCAGCATTTTAAAATCTCCTCGGGGCAGCGGAGACTTCGCTCCCGCCCGCCAGCATTTTAAAATCGCCCCGGGACAGCAGGGGCTTTTAAAATGCTGGCGGTCGGCAGCAAAGCCCTCCTGTCCCCGGAGCTTGCGGGGCGGGAGGTGGGAAGAAGGGCTTTTCTTCCCACCGCCAGCCTTCAGAACAGCCTTCTGAAGGCTGGCAGTGGGAAGAAAAGCCCTTGTCCCCCCCCCCCAGCCTTCAGAAGAGGTCGGGGGACAGACTGTCCCCGGACCTGGTCTGAAGGCGGTTTCCCTAGGAACGCATTAATTGATTTTCAATGCATTCCTATGGGAAACCGTGCATCGCAAGACGAAAAACTCGCAAGACGAAGAGACTTGCGGAACGAATTAATTTCGTCTTGCGAGGCACCACTGTACTTTTTATATAGTCAATATAGGCACAGAGTTAAATTTTTTAACATTTTCTAATGGTGGTGTGCCTCGAGATTTTTTTCATGAAACAAGTGTGCCTTTGCCCAAAAAAGGTTGGGAAACACTGAACTAAGCTATGCTGTGCCCCGTGTAGTGTTTTGCTGAAACATGGTACAGTGGTGCCCCGCAAGACGAATGCCTCGCAAGACGAAAAACTCGCTAGACGAAAGGGTTTTCCGTTTTTTGAGTCGTTCCGCAAGACAAATTTCCCTATGGGCTTGCTTCGCAAGACGAAACGTCTTGCGAGTTCTTGCGAGTTTGTTTCCTTTTTCTTAAAGCCGCTAAGCCGTTAATAGCCGCTAAGCCGCTAATAGCTGCTAAGCCACTAATAGCCGTGCTTCGCAAGACGAAAAAACCGCAAGACGAAGAGACTCGCGGAACGGATTAATTTCGTCTTGCGAGGCACCACTGTAGTTAAGCATCGATCCAAAAACTCATTTTAGTGCAATTATCCTATCACTTCATTATCTTTCAGGGAACTTGCGGCCTTCTAGAAGCTGCCAGACCACAATACCTGCTGGCTAGGCTTGATGGGAACTGTAGTCCAGGAACATCAAGGAGCCACGGGTTCCTCACCAACATTAGACAGGGTGTAGGAAAATATTATGCAAGAAGGAGCCTTTGTTATTTTGTGAATGACTTCCTCAATTGTTTGGTTCACTTCCATACTGCTTATTCTCTGAATTTTAAACTGGTGACGTACAGAGATATAAAGCGCTTTGGGTTTTCCCCTCAAGCCTAACAAATAATAATAATAATAATAATAATAATAATAATAATAATAATAATAATAATAATAATTTATTATGAGTCCCCTCAGCCACTCTGGGCGGCTCCCAATCAAGTATTAAAAACAATACAGCGTTAAATATTAAAAACGTCCCTGAACAGGGCTGCCTTCAGATGTCTTTTAAAGATAGGATAGCTACTTATTTCCTTCACATCTGAAGGGAGGGTGTTCCACAGGGTGGGCGCCACTACCGAGAAGGCCCTCTGTCTGGTTCCCTGTAACCTCACTTCTCGCAATGAGGGAACCGCCAGAAGGCCCTCGGCGCTGGATCTCCGTGTCCGGGCTGAACGATGGGGGTGGAGACGCTCCTTCAGGTATACAGGACCTGATGGGTTCAGTCTTCTTCCCCACCCCAATCCTCATCTCTTTCGCACATAATTATTAAAATCGCAAGAAGTTACTTGGGCAGAGAGCCCAACTGGGGATCTTCGCATGCAACCCTCTTTGAGCAGAAGGTCCCTGGCCAAGTTACCACTGTCCAGGTTTCTGTCCACCAAGTATTTTTATCAACAAACTTCATTCAAAGCCAAGCACGTGCTTAAATCTCCCCACTGAGTTCAAACAGAATTAGCTTTGGTTGAATCATGCCCTAAATTTAAAATGCACCGGACAAGATACAACACTCTCCAAATGAGTTACTGTCCAGACTGTGAGCATGCAGAATATTACTTCCATAATATTCTGTACCCAAAGCATTTTAAAGCAGCTCTACTTTATTTCAGTTTACTTCTTTAAGTTTCACTGTCTTACCTTGCTCCAGAGATTTACATCAAAGGACCTGTAGAGGGCAGCAGAGGATAATTAATTGAAGGTCAGAAATATTTGTTTAATTTAGCCGTTTCTTTAAGAGAAAATCGTATAGCTAAGCACATGCAGATTTGTTTGGGTGAAGGGTATTAAAAATAAATTAATGATTTACACATTTTGTCAGGTTTATTTTTGAAAAATGAGTTCACGCGGTATATTAATTGCCACAGAAAACGAGGGCTATGTTAGAATCCTTTGCTTCAATGTGTTTCAACCAGTTTCGTGCTCGTATTTACATGGGGGGGGGGGGCCTGGAAACAAAAACACCAATGCAAGTGTAAATGTCCATTCAGCAGAAAATTAAGGTTCCTCAGACCTTCTGGTATCTACTTCAGATGATTTTTGAGAGGGTTAACCACAACAGTAATTTGGAGCTTGTACATGAATAGTTTGCTGGTGACATGAAAAACGTACTTTCCAACACGCTTAGTCCATTTCCTTAAAAGTAATGCTGAAAGCACTTATTAATCTGCATGATTAATCTGTTAATGCGTTATTAACTATTCAACTCATTATCACACATTAAATGTAAATGCATTAATCAGTTTTCAAATGTCCCCACTGTTAAAGGTTCAGGGTTGTAACCTATCTGCATATCTAAATTCAGGCAGCATTTTCAAATTAAATAAGTCATACACATGTATTATTTAATATCAACAATTACTTTCACTTCATACTCTCCAAAATACAGTAGTGAGATACTGTAACATATATCTCCTCTTCAGACTGCCAGGTTGAAAGAGGATTGCATAATTTCATTTTTATCTGCTTTTTTTAAAAAAAAAACATTCTTGGCAGTTTTGTGAAATACTACCTGTCACAGTATCTCATGAAACACAGTCCTTGAGAAGAAAAGAGACAAGACTTCACCATATATGAGATGCTCCTTCACAAGCAGAAAAGAGGTATGCAAGGATACATATTTGATTTGCTAAAGACTGCTGATTTTAAAACCTTAATTGTTTGGCATCCTAAACTTTCTGAACAAGAAATTCCAGCAGGACATACACTGAATCTGAAAAATGGAGGAAGATGTTCCCAGTTTAAATAACCAGAATGACACTGTAATATTTACTGCATAGTGTGAAATTGCTGCTCCACAGCTACAGATTAAACACACTGCCCTGGATTAGGGACAGTGCACTGGAAGCAAAAGCAGACGGATTCTAGCTGTTCTTGGAAATGGGTAGGTTAAAATTATGACTTGCATTCACCCGTTGGAATGTCTTTATCAGTGTAAGAATTGCCTTGTTGACCGAACAAAATCTGTGTAGTTGAATGTTCAGTTTCCAACACTGATCAGCCAGACACCTGAAGTTCTCAAACAAGGCATAACAGGAAGAGTCCTGGCTCCACACCTCATTCTGCTGACAATATCCAGCCATTAATATCAAGAGATATACTCAAAACATAAAAATGTTGTATTGGTTTCAGATGGGCTTCCCAAAAGGCATTTGGTTGGCTACTGTGTGAACATAATGCTTGATGAGATAGATCTTTGGTCTGGTTCAGCAGGGCTATTCTTTTTTCCTTTATTTAATACTTTTATTTATTTTTAATTCCAGTTAACAAACACATCGAACAACAGCAGGATTATTCTTATGTTCAGATGCTACTAGACCTGTTCTCCATGAATCTGCCCGACCCTTTAGGACCATCCAACCTAGTGGCCATCAATGAGACTCAGCTATGACCAGGAACTTCCCCGTTCAACTCCGGTCTCTGCCATGTAAAGGTACCCCTGCCCGAAGGCCAGTCGTGTCCGACTCTAGGGTTGTGCGCCCATCTCACTTAAGAGGCCGGGGGCCAGCGCTGTCCGGAGACACTTCCGGGTCATGTGGCCAGTGTGACGAAGCTGCTCTGGCGAGCCGGCACCAGCGCAGCACACGCCGTTTACCTTCCCGCTATAAAGCGGTACCTATTTATCTACTTGCACTTAAGGGTGCTTTCAAACTGCTAGGTGGGCAGGAGCTGGGACCGAAAGACGGGAGCTCACCCTGCCGCGGGGATTCGAACCGCCGACCATGCGATTGGCAAGCCCTAGGCACTGAGGTTTTACCCACAGCGCCACCCGCGTCCCTGCCATGTGGCCTTGGGCAAACCCCTCTCTTGCAACTTGAGTTCCCCCATTTGCAATATGGGGATAATAATACTGACAGGGCTGTTGAAGGAATTACAACTATAGAGCACGTGTGACACTCTTCTGGTAATGAACTCTACAAATTACCGTATTTTTCGCTCTATAGGGCGCACTGGGCCATAGGACGCACCTATTATTTTTTTTGTTGTTTTTTTTTGGGGGGGGGGAATAAAGAAAAAAAAATTCCTGCCGGGAGAGGCTGCGCGTGGTTTTGGCAGAAGCCAAAACAGCCAGCGGGATGGATCCCGCTCGCTGTCTTGGTTCCTTTTTAGCAGCAGGGTGGGTCCAGGAGCGGGGGCGAGGCAGCGCTCCCCGGGCTTTGGGATGTAGGCTGCTATCTGCAAGCCTTGGGAGCCCGGCGGGGACTCCCGCCGTGCTCCCAGGGCTTGCAGATAGCTTCCTGAAGCCTGGATTCACTCCATTGGACGCACACACATTTTCCCTTCATTTTCGGAGGGGGAAAAATGAGTCCTATAGAGCGAAAAATACAGTAACTGTGCTTTGTGCAGAGAAGCACTTTGTTTTTTGTCTACTGATGGGACATACATCCATATCTCACTCTAATTCCTAACTATTAGCTGGTACTGAATTGGGTGTTGATTTGGCTGTGGGTAAAACTAATTAACTGATTGGTTCAAAACTGGGAAAGGAGTACGACAAGGCTGTATATTGTCTCCCTGCTTATTTAACTTATATGCAGAATTCTTCATGCAAAAGGCTGGACTGGATGAATCCCAAGCCAGAATTAAGATTGCTGGAAGAAATATCAACAACCTCAGATTTGCAGATGACACAACCATAATGGCAGAAATTGAGGAGGAATTAAAGAACCTTTTAATGAGGGTGGAAGAGGAGAGTGCAAAATATCGTTTGAAGCTCAATATCAAAAAAACGAAGATCATGGCCACTGGGCCCATCACCTCCTGGCAAACAGAAGGGGGGGAAATGGAGGCAGTGAGAGATTTTACTTTCTTGGGTTCCATGATCACTCAAGATGCTGACAGCAGTCATGAAATTAAAAGACGCCTGCTTCCTGGGAGAAAAGCAATGACAAACCTAGACAGCATCTTAAAAAGCAGAGACATCACCTTGCCGACAAAGGTCCATATAATTAAAGCTATAGTTTTCCCAGTAATGCTGAATGGAAGTGAGAGCTGGACCATAAAGAAGGCTGATCGCCAAAGAATCGGTGCTTTTAAATTATGGTGCTGGAGGAGACTCTGGAGAGTCCCATGGACTGCAAGAAGATCAAACCTATCCATTCTTAAGGAAATCAGCCCTGAGTGCTCACTGGAAGGACAGATCCTGAAGCTGAGGCTCCAATACTTTGGCCATCTCATGAGAAGAGAAGACTGCCTGGAAAAGACCCTGATGTTGGGAAAGATTGAGGGCACAAGGAGAAGAGGACGACAGAGGACAAAATGGTTGGACAGTGTTCTCTAAGCTACCAGCATGAGTTTGACCAAACTACGGGAGGCAGTGGAAGACAGGAGTGCCTGGCGTGCTCTGGTCCATGAGGTCACGAAGAGTCGGACACGACTAAACGACTAAACAACAACAACAAAACTAATCCAGCTTCTCCTTAATTAACTGCAAGCTGGCGGATTCACTGAAATGTGTACCTATCCTGGCTTAATCTGCCAGACCTTTCACCTTGCATTATTTATTGGTAATGGAGTAGAGTAAAGAAGTCTCTATTCTAGGGTGGCATTCCTGTCCATATGACAGGCACCCACAGTCTGCACAGCTGAAGACATTTTTGCTCCGGCAAGTTTTCCCAGCTGGATAAGTGGGTTTTTAGCATGTGTGTGAATGCAGCAGACTCGGAGGGTGAGAGAGTCCCATGAATGAGCTCACCCTACCTTGTCATTAAATGCCTGGCGGGGGCGGGGGGCATATTAGCTGTAGAAAGACATCTTCAAAGCTTCAGTTGTTATAAGCCTCTGGTTTTGCTCACAGGCCTTGGGCTCTTTACTTTTGGACCTTATACTTGTGCTGCTGAGCCTGTACTGCTATTAGCCTGAATAAATATATTTTCCTTACTTTCAGGAGGGCTCTTGCCCTCTGCTGTATATTGTACAGGCCTTTGGCTATACACAATAAATTGACTGATACTCATTAATGATAGAAGCTCCAAAAACCACCACATACTTTCAAGTAAGAGTTGCTGCCGGTGTGTTTTGAGGCGGGAGTCTGACAACCATGAACTGTCACCAACATTTGTCTTTCAAAGGGTGAGTATGCTCACCAAACCATAATTAACTACACTCGACTATAGCTAGACATAATGCCTGAATTAATAGCAAACTGGTCAGCAAACCAGAATGGCAAATCATGGCTTATGCTAACAGAGGTTTTACTAATATTTTACTTTGAAAGTTACAGCCATCCTACCCAAAGTTCCCTTTCCTTGTGGGTTATGCTGCTTTACTTCATGAGCAACTGGCCAGAAGACTAGTACTTGCACTGTTTGCCTCTTCACCTCCCACCTCCTTGGAGGGTGAACGAAACAGGATTTCAGTAGCAGAAATGCCCTGTTGTTCTCAGGGAAACACATAAAGAGGCTAGGATGGAGGTTCTCTTTCAAGAAAAACAAGCATATGGCTTGGGTACTGCACTCTGATGGTGGCCAATGAGCACTGGAATACACTCTGAACTGCCAGAGGTAAAGAGTTATGCAAGCACCCAAGGAAGCAGACACTTTCATATGTGCATGGCTAGCTGTACTTGTCACTTCTCCAATGTTTATCCCTCTGAGTTGTGACGTTCTGAATTTACGAAACATCTCTCAAAACTCTTCCAAGATTATTCTTGGAATGGGGAGGTGTCTCGAAAAAGCCCTATGTCACTGTAACACGTACACAAGGTCTGAAATTTTAATGGACCTATTTTAAAAACCTAAAGCAGTCTATGGTTGCTGTGCTTATTTAACATTTCAAGGCATTGTTCAACAAAACAGCTGATTTCTCTCCATCAGAAAGGGGGTTTCAGGAAATATTGTGCTATGGTGGCTTTTCAGAATTTCCCCCTTTTTCTTCCGGTCCCACCCTAACTCCTTTATTCAATACAGATTCCAAACAGGATTGTTCTATGCATTATGATCTGAAAACATAATAGGTATAGATATGACAGAGGAGGGGGGGGTATAACCTAAAGCATTTTGATCTCAAGGAGAGGTAGGGCATTTCAGATGTTGCTGAACTCCAACTTCCATCAGCTACAGCCTGTCCAGCAGTCTGGGATGATTCAAACTATAGTTCAATAATACCTCAAGGACCACAGAAAGGCACAACTGGTCTGATCAGGATTTCAAGTATTGGCCAAATACTTCACCAATCATAGTGAACACATTTTTAGGCCCTGAAAACAGATGGGGTTACCCTATAAAAGGTACCATAATATCTAAATCTGCTAACTTTGGCCAGAGAAAGAAATTTCAGAAATGAACAAACCAAATAGCACAAAATGCATTTCTAATGCTATAGTCAATAATTGCTTCCCATTATTTTCAAAAATCTCCTTTTACATACTGAACTAGCATGATGAGAAGACAATTTAGGGTGTTGCTGTTTAGCATGTGGAATAACTTGCGCTCTGATATTGCAACAGTCCAACAACATAGCCTGACAACACATGACTGTGAATTATGAAGCTGGGCTTTGTCAAAATAACATAACACCTACTTGGAGGATGGATTAAGTAAAAACTGAGCAACAACAATTTATTTATACCATGCCTTGTCGTCAACTACAGCAGCAGCAGCAACATCAACAATTTATTTATACCCCGTCTTTTCCCTGATGGGACTCAAGGCAGCTTATATATTAAAATGAGAGCCACTAAAAACACAGAACAACATATTAAAAAAACAACTGCAATAAGCACAGCAATGACCCCCACTAGGGCAATGGGGCTTCCCCTCCTTTACTCCCTTAAATCCTCCCTGGAGGACCGGGAGAATCCCCTGAACAGCACAGAGGGGGAGAAAAGAGATTATTAGCGCTATACTGAATTCCGCCATTTCATTGGGTACCCTTAGGCAAGCACAGCCTCAGTGCTTCATCTGAAATTATCATACCCATCTACTTTCAGGGTTGATATCATTATTATGGCAACAACTAGCACCAAACACTCTGAAAACTGAATGACCTATATAAATGATAATTATTACAATTACATAATCACTAATTAAGCTTTTGATTCACAGAACCAAAAATAATTATGCTATAGCCAGTGATTGCATAGGTTGAAAGTTTCCCACCCATGTCACTCATAAGAGTGGCAAGTAGGGTTCATTCTGGCTCTTTAAACCTTAAGAGAGATGATAGGCTTGCACTGATTCTTACAGCCACATATATACTCCTATCCAGCTCCTAACTGGCTTTTTAGCTTATGGGCAAAAATATGCTTTCATTCCTCACCCCCTTTTTCTTAAAGTAACTGCCCAAAATACCATCCTGGGATTAAGGACCAAGAGCATCTAAGGTAAAAAGGTGGCAGTGAAAGCTTCATAAACTCTTACCTTCTGAATCCAAAGACCAGACTGCCTCTGAATTGCACGTGATCTATGGGTGGCATATTTGGAGAAGACACTGCAGAATAAATGAAAATCCTTAGAATGCGTTGACCCTTGCTTCTCCAAAAAGGATTGATTAAACCATTGGTATCAAAAGACATTTATTTAAAGAGAATCTGTTTAGTAAGATCATCTCGGCACATGAATGCATGATCTTCCAATAATTTCAAGTTTTAAACACAGAGAGGTCTTTCTTTACTGGCTAGAAAGAGAAAGATATACAACACCCTGGAATTACAGTGCTTTTTGGAGTTTTGGTCAATTATTAGGGAATGCGGTTACTGCAAGCTCATCTCTGTGCATACTAACTTAGAGCAGCAGTCCCTGTTGAATCATTCCCCACCCAGTGAAATACATTTATCTCATACAATTTACATGTATTTAAAAAAACATCAAAGCGGTTTACAAAAGATAAAACAGTAATATCAAAAGGAATCTACAACACTCATTAGCTCTCAGTAATGTATCTGGGAAGCTAAATTTCGTAAGCCTCGGCTATGTGTGACAATGGAACAGAGACTGCTATGCAGCACTAGGGGTGGGAGGAGTTGGCTTAATTCAAGCCAGGAATGAAACACCCAAGCTGGTATGTGTGGAGCGGAGTTGGGGCAGCTGACGGAGGAAGAACATGGACATTGAACAGCTCTAAAAATCAACAGCTATGCAGAATTTCTAGTAGTTGAAACGTGAGTGCCCATCTGTCTTTCAAATGCATGCACTCCAGCAGAACGCATTACTTCTTCCATGCCAGCTTCCAGACAAGCAGGGCAGGGCAGGAGAGTCCAAATTCAGTCCCCAGACCAGAGCTTTCCAAACTGTGCGTCGCGACATGTTAGTGTGCCGGCTGCAGTGTGTAGGTGTGTCGCGCAAATGCTCCCCATGCTCCTCCCAGAGCTGGAAATGGGTTACTTTAACCTCTGGTTTGCTCGTAAAACTGAATCACCATGTTGTGAAATGATACATGTCTAAAAAGTGTATCACCAACATGAAAAGTTTGGAAAGCTCTGCCCTAGACCAACTGGGCCTTACACTGAAGAGCTTCCCTGCTTCTTTGTTGTGATCACTCATCTTCTTTGTTATTTAAATATAGAAATAAATAAATGAGAAAGCAATGTTGTGTTTAAAAAGTTTTTGTTCGTTTCAAAAAACAACAACACGGTGCAGCTTTGTATGCTCAACTGCTGCTGCTGCCGCCGCCGCTGACAGCCGGCAAGCTGGTTTCCTTAGCAACAAACAAAAAATGAAAAATAAATGACAATGAAGTGGAATGGGGCAGTTGAGAAAGGGAGAACAGGCACCCTTGTGCACATTGTCTAATGCGCCCAGATTCCTTAACTGATGCTTCATTGTTTTCATCTTGCCAGTTTTGGGAATCTGTGCATTATAGAACTTTGACTCCAATGAAAATCCTGTTTATTTGTATATTTGTGTGTGTGTGTGTTTTATGATGGCCTATATTTGTAATGCCTAATAAAGGTTTGGCGAAGTAAGAAGCATTATAGAAACCTGGAAGCTGCAATCAATAGCCCTTGGTAGCAGTCCGCTTTAACAGGTTGCCTTCCCCTTAACCAGCTGCACCACAAAAGAAAGCTTTAATTTGATCTATTAACATTAAACCCTTTCTGGTAAGACTATCAGTATACAGCATGGGTAGGCAAACTAAGGCCCGGGAGCCGGATGCGGCCAAATCACCTTCTCAATCCGGCCCGCAGTCGGTCCGGGAATCAGCGTGTTTTTACATGAGTAGAATGTGTCCTTTTATTTAAAATGCATCTCTGGGTTATTTGTGGGGCATAGGAATTTGTTCATTTCCCCCCCTCCAAAATATAGTCCGCCCCCCAAGGTCTGAGGGACAGTGGACCGCACCCCTGATAAAAAGTTTGCTGACCCCGGTATACAGGTTCAATGGTTTAATGTACAAAGCAGCATTTCAGGACCATTATGAGTCTTGAAGCTACTAAAGACAAGTATGCACTGATGACTCTTTGGATGTTGTAGCAGTTTAGCAGTTTAAGTGGGGTGGAGGAAGAAAAACATTGATAAACACACATAAGGAAAGTAAAGGAGATGGACAGTGATCCCAAGATCATCATGCTCCACACTTGGAAGTTGTGCAGCGTATCAGAATCTCACTTATGAGCACTATTGTGAGCTTTGACGTCTCTGGTTACCTAGGACAAGTGCTTAAAACCATCATTCTTTGTTTCCCCATCCCATCAATAGATAGCCACATGAGGGAAGAGGTGAGATCACTGATCATTTGTTGGTGAGCATTGGTGGGGAAATTTGAACCACCTCACCTAGTCTGGCACCTGGCAATGCAAATTGTCTGCTCCAATGCTAATCAGAGCGACTAATGAACAGGGAGGGGAAAATAGCACACACACACCCAGCTGATCACTGAGGAGGGCTGTGTCTCCACTCTGTCAGCAGCGAACTGTGGGGTCAGGCATACCTGACCTCTGGTTGTCCAGTCACTGCTGCATACCAAGATGGAAGGGGGAGGGGAGCTGCAGGGGCAGAGCCCATCCAGCACTCCTGCCGGCACCAAACACACTGCAGCCTTGCTCTTCCACTGCTCTGTTCTAATACTCAGCAACAATGAGAATGCCACTGCAACCCCAGCCTGTCATCCGCTGCTACTGCACCCTATAGATGGGAGAGTGTGGGGTGGCTACACCACTGCTTGCATGCAACCCCCAGGAGGTTGGCCAAGACTGAACACAACCTTCAGGCTAAAGAAGTTTGGAAACCAGTGCCCTACTGCTTGAGATTGTGGATTTCATAGAATAAAGTTAAATGCGAATTTGTGGATTTATTTTGTGCCTGTTTTTATCATGAATTCTGTATTTATAAAGAGGCAAGCTACACTAGAACTCCAAGTCTAGGGAATTGGTGAAGTAAATTTTATTTATACTACCAAGGTGACTTTTTTTAAAAAAATAAAAAAATAAGTTTTTCATTCTTATGTCTAGCTTCAACAGACAACGGCTGTACAAATAATAATTACAACATCAAGGATACTTACATAAAGCTAAAACATCCTCCAGTCTCCCAGTGGCTGCTGTGTATCTGATTTCTGCTGCAGAGAGTGATTTACTATCAATAGGACAGTTTGCTTCCTATGGAAAGAATATAATTCAGAGACGAAATGCAGTAACAATTGGGAGAGCACAGTGGTTAAGACCCCCAGCACAAAATTTGAAATTTGGTATGAATTCAGCAATCAGCCTTAGACAAGCCCCGTCCTCTTCTTGGCACTGGCCTTCCTAATAAAAAGGGAAAGGGAAAGGACCCCTGACAGTTAAGTCCAGTCACAAACGACTCTGGGGTTGCGGTGCTCATCTCACTTTACAGGCTGAGGGAGCCGGCGTTTGTCCACAGACAGTTTTTCCAGGTCATGTGGCCAGCATGACTAAGCCGCTTCTGGCACAATGGAACACCGAAACCAGAGCAGCACATGGAAACACCATTTCCCTTCCCACCGGAGCGGTACCTATTAATCTACTTGCACTTTTTTTGGCATGCTTTCGAACTGCTAAGTTGGAAGGAGCTGGGACCGAGCAAAAGAAGCTCACCCCATTGCGGGGATTCGAACCGCCAACCTTCTGATTGGCAAATCCAAGAGGCTCAGAGGTTTAGACCACAGCGCCACCCGCGTCCCCGGCCTTCCTAATAGAAGGTTGCAAATATTTCTGAGATATCTACGTATTACGCTTGCACAACAGAATCTCCTCACTCTGTGTACCCTTAAATCTGTTCTAGGTTTCCCTCAACCTTCTGGAGCAGATCTGGAGAGGGCATGGGGTGCGTACAGGCAGAGGACAGGGAGTTCCACTGTACAAGCATAAATCCTGGTGCTGACAGAGTTAGTTGGATATTGTCTAAGACAATAAAATGTGTATTTAGTTGCAAGCCAATAGCTTTTAGTTATTACAGCAACCATTTGAGATGCATAAAGATTTAAAAATTAGAAATGTGATTTAAATGAATGGCTTAAAATTATACTGGTGTAAAAACGAGCCCTCCCCCCCTTAATGCCTCAAAGCAGCTTTCTGGAAAAATACGGAAAATGCATTAAAGATAAGGTTTAAAAGGTTTATTTAGGAGGCATGCTTCTAGGGCTATTACAGCATTGGATCACCACAAAAGTAAAATGAAACCTGGTAAGTTAACATCACTGGGATATAAAGTAATAAGCCAACTACTTAACTCACCTGCAGCAGATGGCGCACAGAGCTGATATCATCAAAATTTGTCAAAACGTAGTTGGAATATGTTTCTATATCAGGCTCTACCTGCATTTCATGCATTGCTTTGAGGACTTCAATTGTACCTAAAGGGTGGGAGGGAAAACAGATGCTGAACCAGATGCTGAATTTCAGCTACCTAGAAACTTTGGGCCATATTCAATATGTCCATGTGTGAACAGAGCAGAGTTCCGCTTCTCCAGTGGAACCTCTCCACCTACAGCCCCTCACATGCCCCAACATCTGCCCTGGAGGATTGTAGGACTCTCCAGAGCAGATTTGGGGATAGAGAGAGGGAGAGGATGTCCATTTATGCAAGCAGAAGTGTTAACACTGCATTGGATTCAACCCTAAAACGATAAATCTCCATGCATTGTCAGAAAAAAATTAAATGATTGGAAATGGCTCTACAGAAACGAGACTTTGTGTTTTGTTTTGTTCCAGTTGCTGCTCTGTCTTGTCCTCGGGAACCAGGTTCTGCTGTGAAATCAGCTACATTCATATGCATCTTTACCATAAGCACATAAGCCTACAACCAACTCCCAATCTGCTAGTCAAGGTTCGGAAACCAAAAGCTATTAGGGCTAGAGCTGGGAGATATTTCAATTCATCATCTGAAACCAGCATGAAGTTCAGATCACAATACTGGTTTCAGACCTTTTGAGCAGGCAAGTACATCCTGGAAGGGTGTTTCAGGGAGAAAAGCAGTAGGAATGGCTTCCCCCCTCACCTTTGCTGCTGCTGGTGGCAGGCACTAACACTGCCCCAATTCAAGGGGCTTTTCTAGGGGTGGGAAGGAGCGGCATCACCCCATTTGCTCAGCTGCTTGACGTCCACTGTTCACAAGGGCTGATAGTGGGCACTTGCTTCACCCCACTGAATGGGTTTTTATCACCCTGTTTACTCAACCACTTGTGGCCCACCTGCAATGAGCAGCTGGCTGTGGCGGCCTGCTTTGACCCATTGAAGGGGTGTTTCTGAATGTCCGCGGGGGTGTGATGGAGCAATGAGCATTGCCCTGTTAGAATCACAGAACTGTAGGGTTGGAAGAGACCATGGGAATCATCTAAGCCAGGTACATCCAACAAATGTACCGGTAGATCACTGGACGTCTGTGGTAGATCACGGGCTCCCCACAAAGAAGCTTAACAACTTTGGCTCCCCTAAAAAACTATGACCTGAACCCCAAAAAGCAGGGCTTTCCTCCTCCCTAAAAAAAGCTCAACAACCTTGACCTGAACTCCCCAAAATGGGGTAGATCACTGTCAACTTTTAACTCTGTGAGTAGATCGCAGTCTCTTGGGAGTTGGCAACCCCTGAATCCAACCCCTGCAGTACAAGAATCTTTTCCCCAATATGGGGCTCAAACCCACAACCCTGAGATTAAGAGTCTCATGCTCTACTGACTGAGCTATACAGGTGTTCACAGGGTTTTTTCTTGTCCACTAGCTATAAGGAGCTGTTGGCTTTCCTGAATACGTATGTTTGTGATGAGAGAAGGTTTGGGTGGGAGTTGTCTGTGAGAGTGATAGAGGAATGCACTTGGGTAGAGAAAGGGAGTGGTGTCTGTCTGTGTGTGTGTGTCTGTGTGTGAAATGATCCTGTTATTAGACACTGTTGCTGGAGGGAAGGGGAACAATATTGTGTGATCACCACGATTAGCTACAAATATGAATGCAGTGCATGTACGTTTGCTTGTGGATTAAGGAATCGGCTAGCTAACCCTGATCGGTCCAGGATCAAGTCAGAAGATAGGAAACCATTGAAGGTAAGAAGGATCACATGCAGCCTGCCTGCCTGAAGTGGAGATTTAAAATCCCAAAACTGCCTTGAACCTTGTTGATTTCAGGACGTGTGAGTCACACAGCTCCAGACTGTTATCTGCCAGAATCTTGGGAGATTCAAAGTGGATTGCTGTATACAAGCACACACTAGGGCAGTTTTCAGTTTTAAAATCTGGGAACTGTCTAGAGCAGTGTTTCCCAACCGGTGTTCCGCGGCACACGAGTGTGCCGTGAGACGTTGCCTCGTGTGCCGCGAGATGCCTGGAGGGAGGCGGGCGAGTCGGGCGGCGAGAGGCGGGGCGGCGGCGGCGAGGAGAGGCCGCGCCTCCTGCTGCTGCCTGGCGCTCCTCCTCGCAGCCGGCAGCGCTGCCTGGGCGCCTCCGCGCGACTCTGCCTCGCTGGGTTTGGTCTCCCAGCAGAGACGGGTCACACGCGCCCCTCCCTCCCTCCCTCAGCCTGCGCGGAGGGAGAGCCAGAGAGAGGCATCGCTCCTGCGCGGCGGGAGAGGGAGCAGCCGGAGCGATGCCCCAAACGAACGCATGGGACCGGAGGGGAAATCCTCTCCGAGGCGGATTGAGCGCAGCTGAGAGAAGCCTTTCGAGGAGCTGCCGTGTCCCCTGGAAACCCCCTTCCCAGCTCTGCCTCAGCCGCTGCCGCCTCAGTTGCCGCCGTCCCTCAGTCCCTCGCTCTGCTGCCTCCTCCCACCCCCAAAGCTTGGAGGTTCCCCAGCAAGGGGGAGGGAAAAAACTTTCACTTTTGTGCGTCCCTCCCGGCGTGACGCTGCGCGCTGACGTCACGGGGCGGGGCTTTAATGATGGTGTGCCGCGAGATTTTTTTTCAGTAAACAGGTGTGCCGTTGCCCAAAAACGTTTGGGAAACACTGGTCTAGAGGAGAGATTGCTTTATTGCAGGGGCGTCCAACTTCCAAGAGTCTGCGATCTACTCTACTCACAGTATTGAGCTTTTTTTAGGGAGTCAAAGTTTATGAGCTTTTTTTGGGGGGCGGTGCATTTTGCTGAGGGTTCAGAGATCAGCCAGGAACTACCAGGGACATCCCACAATCAACCAGTAGGTCGCAATCGACCTGTTAGGCAGCCCTGCTTTATTGTATTTGTAAACCTACTTATTTTTCACTGCATTTTTGCTCCACTGGTAGCATAGGGAAAGTAACATAAAACCAGCCTAGGTAAAGTCATTTCCCAAAGAACTAACTCTTTTGACTTTTTTGTAAACTTCTATCTTTGCTTCATTAAAAAAACCTGTGAACTTTATACATCACCTAAGAAGGCATTTTAAGTTGTTCTTGGAGAGACGTGAGGGGGGCATGTTAAGGCTGTTTGGTGGAAGGCAGTTGGGGAAAATAACTCTTCCACTTGATGGCAGCAGAATGGCCTAAACTGGGAAGGGTGGGCAAACAGAAGGGGACACTGTTCTGGCCATATCTCCCTTCCCAACACACTGTAGCAAGGAAGAAAAAGTTAGCAAATTTAAACTTGGTTACAGTGGGGAACAAGGATTTAGGTGTTAAGACAGGGGTAGGCAACCTAAGGCCCGGGGGCTGGATCCGGCCCAATCGCCTTCTCAATCCAGCCCATGGATGATCCGGGAATCAGTGTGTTTTTACATGAGTAGAATGTGTGCTTTTATTTAAAATGCATCTCTGTGTTATTTGTGGGGCATAGGAATTTGTTCATTTTTCCCCCTTCAAAATATAGTCCGGCCCCCCACAAGGTCTGAGGGACAGTGGACCGGACGAAGGCTGAAAAAGGTTGCTGACCCCTGTGTTAAGACAACAACCTTATGGAAAAGTTGGGTTTTCAAAATGGATCTGAAGAAAGAGAAGTAGTAACAGGAACACATTCAGCAAAAGTTTCACATTTATTGGCATGCATTTAGAATGCATGGTGGGGTGGTGTTATTTTTTGTAAAACCAACCCCTGGTTAATCGACTTAACTAATTTAACTATTAAAAAGGAAATGTAAAAGCCTTGCATCTGGCATTTAAAGGTTACCACAAAGACACTATGGCTAAGTTCTTGCCTTTTAAAACATAATGCTGCATTTTATTACATCATGTCTAGCTAACCAACTCCGGAATTCATGTCAAAACCTATACAGGTACTGGAATTTTTGTAAGCATAAAAATGATTTGTCAGATGCTGCAGGATACCAGATTCAAGTAGCATATGCTTTCCCCCCCTCCTTTTTCCAAGTTGCCTCACATATTTGTTACTATAAAAAATTCTAAAGTTTCCTGAAGTCCCTGTCTTTGCCCTGGAGTGCCACCTATGGAAAAGTGACACTTCCATGAATATTTTATGCAGTGCACTACGGTGCAAATAATCAAATGTGAATTCCCTTTGAGCACTTAAAAATACATGCCAACAAGTCACACTAAATTAAAGTCGCATCATTTGCTCAAGTTTGCCTTAAAACAGAAGACGGACTGATTTTGGCCAAGAACCGGCAAATGTATCCAGAAAGAATTAATTACAATATAATTTTGCTCAATACATTTCAAAATCTGACAGCAAGCTTATGCTTTATATTTATAAGATGTCAAAAAACGGTAATGAAAACTCAGCTGAAACTGCATTTCATCAGCACTTCTATACTTTGAGAAAAGTGTTTAGATGCACATTATCCGTAACATCTGTTTGCTTTTAAAATAACTGCTACAATAAATTAGGCCCATAATGGCCAGGAGATGCAGGTTCAAATCTCTACGCAATCAAGCAAAAAATGCTTATGGCTTTTCATACCCCAAATTCACATCTGTTACAACCCTATCTTTGCTGGCTTTATTTTTGAGCAGATGCAAGTGTTGTAATGAGGATTAGAATTTAGGATACTATTAATGTTTTATATGGAGAGAGGCGTTTTAAGGGGATATTGGATAAAGTATCCAAGGAAGATGGGAGTGCCTATCAAAATGTGCACACATAGTGGAATTACTTGTTCTAAATATATACTTGCAGGGATAGTTTTCTCTTTTAATACTTTGGCCATCCATTTGCACTTGCAACAGATTCCTGGCTCAGGGCTTTTAAGGCTCAGGGCTTTAAACCAGTGCACACTAAGGCTCAGGGCTTTAAACCAGTGCACACTACTGAACTATCTGATTAACCGACGGGGCTGGTTTAAACCAGGAGTCTGAGAGTAAAGGGCATACTACATTTTGCTACCTTATCATTCACTGAGTGGCTGCATTCACACGTAATACTAAACCATAGTTTATTGTTGTAAGCACAAGTAGAAAAGAGCTGCTATGGGCCCTTGGGGCTTTTGCTCTCTTCCAGCTGTTCCAGAGAACTTTGGCAGCATTCTGTATGAATCACAGGTTGCAGCTTAAAACAAACCCTAGTTACTTTCCCCACAAACAAACTTATTTATTATTTCATAAACTTTATATGACAATATACCACTTGCTTGTAGAAAGACCACAAAGCGGTTCAAACTATGGGTTATAAATCTGGCTTGTTTAAACTACAATCTCTGGTTTGTATGCAAAGACAGCCTAGTTTTCATGAAGAGTGAAAACGAATTCTGCCAAAGTCCTCCTTTTAACGCAAGCCTTATGGTAGCTTGTTACTGTATGCTGCCGTAAATCATGGCTCACCAGCATGTGCGAACTGAGTTAATATCACAAAACACACACATATTGAGGCTTTGCTTTATGAAAATGCATTAAAATTTAATAAACGCATTAATCAATTGAAAGGCAGATGGCCAGTGCAAATTTAAATTAGTAAACATACTTGCTGTTTACTGGTTATATCTAGGTTAGTTTATCCAATATAGATAGTACTGCCTCTTTAGCAGCATACTGCAGGTGAAGAAGTCAGGTGACAGTTTTGAATGTTTCCCCAGATAGAAGATGCCTGAATATAATAAACTAGTATATCAGGGGAAATACTACACAAAATTCTTCCTCTCTGATGAGCTCATCTTCTTTGTAGGGGGTAGAGACATTCAAAACACAGTACAACCTGATATTCTATCACTTCATTCTACATAATCTGAGCTTTGTCAACCTAAGCAGCAGAATAAGGTAGCAGTATGGTCTGCACCCCACAAAGATACAGGCAAACTATTTCATATTTTTTTATTGCTCTCCCATTTACCAAGAGTAACCAACTAGCATATAAAGAGGAAGGTTTTGTCTTAGCCCAAACCCTGCTTTCCTAGTTTTCCAACTGCAGAACACAGGCTAAATGTGTAGAACAGGCAATCCACTTCAAATGCAACAGTGACTGCAATGGACTGTAAATATCTTAAGATTAAAAGCACACGTGCACACACGCGCGCACACACACACACACACACACAAACATTCTTAGCATCATGCATAAGCCAGGATAGCTCTAACACGGTCTTAGTCAAATCTGTGTCAACATTGATCAGAAAACAGAGAGACTGAATGCATCTACTTATATGCTCACATGTGTTTGAACATGTGTTGATATATAATGAAGGAATGCTGCTGGGGGAGAGGGGATATTTTGGCAGTGGATCTGGAATTTTGCTTTAACCAGTGAATGAGGATGGAGCAGTATCTGTCAGTGGGTCCAAAAAGTTTAGGAATATCCCTTATGCCATTAGTGCCACTAGAGAAAGGGGTGTCACACCTTCAGAGATGTCTGGAATTTATACCACTGGTAGAGATGATTGCTTGGGAACTTCACATCCCTCATGTCTTTAATAAATTCGCAAACGTCTACAAATGATGTCCATAACTGGTTTCTGGATTTTCTTGACTGACTGGAAAGAAAGAAGCTTCTTACCTTGTGGGATGTAGCAATCTACTATAGAAAGCATGTCCATTACAAACACACCAACCATTTTGCATAACCAGTATGCGCATACAGACTTTGCCCAGATTCTTCCCAAGAAATGCAATGCACAAATGTAACAGACCAAAGAAGCATGCCCGCCAGAAATTTATTCTGCATAAGCTTCCCTGAAATGTGGGAGAAACTCATGGCACAACATGTGACTGATTTTTCTGTGCAATTCTCTTTGAGGAGATGCGATTAACAATAATGTAAATGGTTTAATCACTACCTTAATTTGCATATGTGTTATCATCCTTAACCTTTCTGTCCTCACAACAGCTTCATAGCACACTGTCATTATTTATATCAGGTTGACAGCTCAAAATCTAGGAATGAGGTCTAGTAACAGGGCCAAGGAGATGCCATGCACATGGTTTTTGAGCTTCCCCTCCTCCTTCCAATTATGATTCTTCACTTTCCCTGCAAACCGGAATAGGCAACTCACATCAAACTGTGGTTTCCAATTCTAGTACAGAGAAGAAGTTCAAACCACAGCTTGCCAATTCAGATGTAATGACAAACTATAGTTGTCCAGAGAAGGAAGTCAGGGAGGAAGGGCAATGTGCACAAGGACAGCTGAACTATGGATTTGTTATGGTTACTGAGGACCTGAATGGGTTGGGTTATGACCCTCGTCATGTGATAGAGGCAGGAGAGCAAAGAACTCTGGGAGGCAGGTGCCGTCTCCTTCAGTTTTTTCCCCTCCTGTCTGACAGATCAGGTCATTTTCTCCCAGCTCTCTGTCACCTAAGTGATTCTGCCTTCAACAGTACTTCATTTCTACTTCTTTACAGAGAAGATCAGAGAGATAGTTCCCAGAACCTATCAAATCTACACTTCAGGTAAGACCAATCATCCTTTTGCAGTTAATGCAAACTGGTTCAGTAAGTTTATGGCTGAGTAGGTATTTCAGCACAAAGCCTCAAAAGGTGTAAGTCTCTCAATTCATCTGAATCCGTTGGTACAAAGGAAACATTCATGTGCAAGAAATTGATTACCTTGGTAATCAAAGTTCAGGATCTTGCTGAAATTGAAGATGTCTTAGAAGCTGAAAACAAACAGCTAAGAATGGAGAACTTTCCAAACTATTAGCAACTAGTTTCTATCTGCGATAGGGTACAAAGCTATGTGGAGCGTTGTTTTGGCAAGCTCTCTCAACACCACGCTTCTACGGTATTCATGTAAAAACAAAAACGGCAGAAAATTCTAGGGAAGTCTGTAGATTAAACACATGTCACTGCTGTTAAGAGTTTTTAAGGGAGTTCACCACAATAAATATTATCTGCTTCATCCTTGAAATCCAAAATAGAACTGCATACTGAACTACCAAAAACTAGCCTCTCAAATAACATTTTGTTTACATAATACACTGAAAGTCTGCCCACTTACTAGACACCACCAAGTGAAATTTTAATGCAGCATTACTTTTTCCCTCTATCTTTGTGAGATAACATTTATTTATATTGTGCTCTTCTCCCCAGATGCATCAGTTTTCAATTTGATTCTTCCAATTCCTGTGATCTCTTACAGTTAAAACTGCATCATGAACATAGCAATATGCAAGAAAGAATATGCATTGAACCTGTCTGAAGAAAAGAGCATTCACACTGATAACTTCATGCTGAAGATAGCACAATGTAAAGGGAGCCTGGATGGCTACAAGAACAGAGAATGCTCTTGGTACATGCAGCCAGAACTTCTTGAAGTGCTGAAGTACAAACTTAGAAAAGATTTCCCTTTATGTGGCCAAAGACACCTACACATTTCTCCTTGCTGCTGTTTTTAAACTGATGCTTCTTAGGGCTTTGTGGCATTGCTAGACTTCTGAAGTGAAGATTCAGTATCATTTGATGTCACAAACCTCACTTCCCATTTGCCGTAACCATCAACTGTTACACCTTCTGACCACTGCATAAAAGCAGAGCAAATTGTGCAATAAAATTTTACCGGATGAATATGGCCACATGTGTGCATAGCTTTTCACCCATTTATTTGTGGATAGAAGAGAACTTAAGCCTATGCTGAAACTCTGAGTTTTTACAATGTATTTGCAACATGCTGGGATTCAAATGATATGCTGGAGAACAATTTGCCCAGTACTTTTAAGTGCCTTCAGGGACCTAAAGAGTTAACAAGAACAGAATATTGTTTTATAAAGGTTTTTCTAAAAGGCTTGACACACTTTTATAGCCAGAAACAATTAGGGAATACTTGTTACAGCATTTCTTCTAAACTGGGATGCGACTATATTTAAAATAAAATTGCAATACAAACTGTCTGCTAAAAGCACTTTTTTTTTGTTTGTGCATTTTGTTTGTCACCCAATGTCACACTAACAACTCTGCATCTCATTCTAAAGCACATTATACTGTGAGATAAGATGAAAAAGACAGTTTTTAATTTCCCCAAGGGGAAAGTACTTCTGTTAAAAGCATCTTTTTATCAGACCACTCTTTCTGAATTACCAATAATGCAAACCAAAGAATTAGATATTGTACTTTAAAATTTAATATTTGTTCAATTCTTATTCATATCCTATAGACATCCCCATGTGTAACAGGGGAAAGTGTGTGCTAAATGCTTAAACCTACTTAAGAATCCCAAAGATTGAACATTTCAGTCCTTCAATCAGTGTGCTGTCAGGTCATGATCATTCAACAATGGAGGTTTTTGTGCTTTCATTATTGTAACTAAGCTCACATTTAACTTATCACTGCATAGGAATGAGCAAAGCTTGTCCAAAAAAAATATAAATCATTTTTCTATCTTTAAAACAAGGGTTCCACAATGTAGCCCGACTTTTAAAAGCTTCCTTAGATTTTGGTGAGCAGAAGATATATTAAGAGAGAAACAGCTAAGGAAATAGTAACAAACCAAATACTTTTGCTACAGTCAAGCTAAAACAATCACAACTCCTTGAAGAGTTCTAAATTTAAGGAGGTTACCAGTGGCATAACAAAACAAAACAAAATAGGCTGGAAAAAGTAATGACAAAGAAACTGTTGCAATGTACATCACCACACCAATAGGACAATAGCACCTTAGCAGGACTGCCTGTACTGCAACATTATTCTGCTTCTCGTGCACAAACCCATTTGGGCTACAGGGCTGCGTGTTACAAGTTCACATGCACAGTAAGCTAAGGTTTGATTTTTAAAATGCTAACCTTGAACATTTTTCTCTTTCTGGTGGTGAACCAGCAATGGCCAAAAATAGTGAGGTCTGACGGGTTCGCCTTCTTCTTTGATGGCCTTCATTAGATCAATAGCCAAAGCTGAAAAGATCAAGAAAGTCAGAGTCAATAAATGGGGTTGTAACAGGGTTAAGTAGTAAAAAAAAATTAACTGAGGCAAGCAATAAGAAAAAGTACCGGTTTTCTTTAACTCCAAAGCACACAACAGAGTCATCTGCAGGGGAGCAGTGTGAATGCCGTGTTCTTTCATGTCACTGCAGAACTGTTTCAGTTTATCCACTGGCTGTAAGGAAATGGAAGGTTTAAGAATTTCACTGTTCAACTGGCAATATTCAGCACAATTAAGTGAATGAGTACAGTGGACCCTCTGGATACGAATTAAATTCGTTCCAGGGGTCCGTCCGCAACCCGAAAAGTCCATAGGCAGAGGTGCTGCTTCAGCACACGCGGCAAAAACTGGAAAGTATACACTTCCAGGTTTGCCGCATTCGTAACCCGAAAGTTACGTATCCAAAGCAGTATGTAACTAAAGGGTCCACTGTACTTCAAATATTCTTGAGAAACAAAGAGAGTGCTGGCTTTGACTGGGAAGGCCTACACACTACTGCGTTCACATACGGTTTGTGGGCTTCCCTTGGGCACCTGGTTGGGCACCATGGGAGACAAGATGCTGGACTAGATAGGCCTTTAGTCTGATCTTCTTAAGTTCTTATGTTTATGAATTAATCCATGCATCCAACACATAGTAACCCAGCAGCGATAAGAGCAGCAGAGTCGCTCATGTAACTGCATGCCAGAAGCGAGGAAGCAAGGCATAGTAAGGGTGGCAAAGGAAACACAAGGAAGCCAGTGATCAATAGGGAGGGGTGGGCTTACTTGCAAGGAGGAACTGACCAATTTCAGAGGGGGAACTTGAGTGGAACAAAGGCTATGTATGAAGACAAGGGAAAGCTAAAGATGTGGATATCAGAGTAGGATTCATAGGGTGGAATGGGGAGAGACATATGAGGAAAAGAATACAGCTTTGAAAAAGGGAGAGGAGCAGACTTTGCGAGTGAACAGTTTGCTTAAGAAAAAAATATTGATTTAAAGCAGGGGTGGTGAAAATGTAAACCCCCAGAAGCTGATGGACTCCAACTCCCATCAGTCCCGAACAGCATGGCCAAAGGTCAGGTGTTACAAGAGCTGGAGTCCAGCAATATGTCAAAGGGTCTCCCTCCCCTGCTTTAAGGGTCCTTTGTAGGACTTCACTTACCATGTTCAAATTTGCACAATGCCGTAAGAAGAAGTTGCCACGGTCTATGCTGCCTTCATTCTGGGCATCTGACAACCCTGAAGGGAATGTCTTCAGTACTTGAAAAGCTGTATCTTCTAAGCCGTGTGTTAGTAAACTCAGACAGAGATTCATTGCATCTAGGTAGTTAAGTACAGCACGGGGGGGGGGGGGGGAGAAACCAAATACGATTAGGAAGAGTCGGGGGCAGGACCAATACATTAATGTGCAGAAGTAGTACACCATTTATTTTTAAGCACTCAATTTACACATTATATGGAAAATGATAGCGTAATAAGCAAAGCAAACATTATGGTTCAGTTATAAAGGCATTATGGCCAATAGCTGTGCTTAACAATGTATTGATAAATTACAGCGTACTACTTACCAAGCATTGTGGATATATTTCAATGCAACTGAGAAGAAGCCATGTATAAAAGCCACTGAAATTAACTAAAGTTCCAAAGAATAACTACTCTACAGATCTACAAATTTATCACTCAGTGCTTCTATTGGCTTTCACTGCTCAATGAGTAAGGATGCTTGTAGCCATTTTTTAAGTCAGTAGCTATACCCATGTAATCTTTAACTATTTCTGCTCATGTGCCATACTGAGAACTACCAATTCGTAAAGAAGTACAATGCTCTAATCAACTGAGCTAAGTATAGATTAATATCACCAAGACTGTGTAAAGTCAAGTCAGAATAACCACCAATTAGACATGATTATAAAAATACTATGTATCATTTTACAATTCTATTTGAGAGAGACATTTTATGTATATCTCTCTTCCACAGCTACTACCCTGAGCTACCCAAATGGATGCACTGGTTAACTAAATAAGAAATAACCATGCATTTTCATTAATTTCCTTTTTTGAAGAGTAAAGGCTAGTGCCAATAAGCAAATCAGATTTGTTGGCATCTTTCAAAAATATTACCTGGAATGTATCCCCTATCATGTCTCATCTTCTCCAAAATGTTTTGTACATGCTGAGGATGTCCAGCCTTGGCAAGAGTAAAAATGATGTCCATTAAGTCCTTGTCCAAAAGGCAGGCATCAGTTTTTTCAATGTTGCCCAGGATCTGCAATAGCAAGGAGAAACAATGTAATAGGAAACTAAATATAGATATAAATATTGATCTGTATTGATCTTTTTTATTATCATCAGTTTTATTGCCACAATGTAACACTTTGCATCTACATGGAAAGAACACAGGAAGCTGTCTTGTACTTAGCTCAGTACTGTCTACAATGCCTAGCAGGGGCTCAGTGGAGATGGCGGGCACTGAGTCTGGGACTTTTTGCATGTGAAGCAAATGCTCTGTGCCACTGACCTATGGCGCTTCCACAAAGAGGGCATCTAGATTGACTTCTGTGGATGTGTTGTACGTTAAGGTGTTCAGTCATAACACAATGCCCAAAAGATCAAGGATGGATCTACTTCATGGGATAGTTGAGAATATACAGTCATACCTCGGGATGAATATTCTTCGGGTTAGGCATTTTCGGGTTGCGCTCTGCGGCGACCTGGAAGTAACGGAGCGCGTTACTTCCGCGTTTCGCCTCGCGCGCATGCGCAGACCATCAAAATGATGTCACGCGCATGCGCAGAAGCGCCGAAACGTGACCCGCGCACACGCAGATGTGCAGACATGGGTTACGTTCGCTTCGGGATGCGAACGGGGCTCCGGAACGGATCCCGTTTGCATCCTGAGGTACCACTGTACTATGCCAATATCTGCAAAATGATTCCAAAAAGCATTCAATGGAAGCAAAATATTGTGCTGGAACTGCCTTTTCAATGTGCAAGTATGCTCCAGTAGCATTGCATTCATTCAAAACACAAGACTGGTTTTCCAAATTCAGGAGGTTCCAGGCATTAATCAGCCAAATGAAACTGAGTGCCGTGTTACGCATGACACAATTGTGTCTCTGAATGTTAAGGGACCACTCTAGAGAAAAAGCCATTTCAGAAGTATCAGCGTTAGTGCTGAAATATACGACCTTGTAGTAAAGACTGCAGAGTATTGATTTTTGTGGTTTAAGAAAAACAGCAGAAAGCACAGTTCTGCTAAACTTAAGACCTTTTAGACTGAAAGCATTGTAGTCATCATTAAATCCATTGCAGGTGGAGAGAAAGAGGTTTAAACTGTCAAGGTGTTCAGTTTAACTGCATTGAAGCCCTGGCTAATAAACAACACTTTTTATCCCATGATAACTACAATCCAACTCACATCTTCAGCACAACTGTCTTTTTCCAACACTGATCTCAATTAATGTTTGGATATCTTAGATGATCCGCAGGTGTCAAAAGAAAGACACACCAAAGTATTATGTATAGGCAGATCTCCACAGTTTTTGGGATTCCACTGCCAGTAGAGTGTGGTTACTAAAAGGTGGTGTAATGAAATGCCCAAGTGTGTCAGTTGTGGAACTCTTGTAAAAATATATACCACTAACTCACATAGAAAACAGATGTGGGCAGCAAATGTAAAATCACAAGCACCAGAAAAATACAAAAGCAGAAAAAGTAACAACAAACTGGTCCATCACATAAAATTCGTTCAACTGAAAATGCCTGTTGTCTTCAAAAGATGTGCTTCACCAAACATACTATATTCTTGATTTCTTGTAAATACCAAGCGAGGCTCATTTACATAGGGGACAATTAACAGCATTACTCAGTGTATGCAAACACACAAATTGAATAGGCAGCTTTGAGTAAGCCACTACCTTCTCTGCTTACCAAAGAATACTAGTTGCTGCACAATTTCAACATACAGTGGTACCTCGGGTTAAATACTTACATTTGTTCCGGAGGTCCATTCTTAACCTGAAACTGTTCTTAACCTGAAGCACCATTTTAGCTAATGGAGCCTCCTGCTGCCGCCGCTGCACAATTTCTGTTCTTATCCTGAAGCAAAGTTCTTAACCCGAGGTACTATTTCTGGGTTAGCGGAGTCTGTAACCTGAAGTGGGTTACACATTCCTTGACCACCAAGGAAGACCTTTCAGGGGTTGAAATGTGTTTGGTCTCAAGTATAATCTATGCATTGTTTAGCACACCAGTTGGGTGGTACCTGAGGTACCACTGTATTACACTTCCTATAGAATTAGCTACTAGCCATTTGGAAAAAGGCATGAATGAAAAGTGATGGCTATTATAAAATCTTTTCTGGACAGAGCTGCAGCTTTGCAAACGGTGTGTATTACCTCTTCAATTTTGCTCATGTCACCTTTCTCAGCGTATGCATTCAATAGTGCAACGTAAGTGTCTGGACCAGGTTCAATGCCAGCATCTCTCATCACAGAAAGGATATTTTCAGCATTCTCCATATCCCTGTGAAGTGTTTAAAAATATATATATATTTTAATATAGTGGCAAATACAATGTTATAAACTGGTTGTGGTTGGTATTAAGACTTGAGCTTATGGGGGGGTGTCACAATTTATCAACAATGAGCTCTTTATTCAATTAAACAGCTGTGGGAAAAGGAATGAATGAAATATAGGACAGGAACAGACAGAGCATCTGCCATCTCTGACAAGTCCCAATAAGGATCATCAGTGGAAGGGGGAAAGTCATCAAGGCTGGCTCACCCACATGGCTACATCAGCACAATCAAATCTTGGCTTAATAATACAACCCCATTGCTACCGGTTCTCTACTCCCCTTCTTCAAGTGGCAAAACCGGTAATCTGCAGTTAACCAGAGCTTCCTGCTATGTCTAAACTGGGAAGCTATGGCTATTGGTTTCTTTAAAAAGGCAAAATAGGAAGCAATAGTTCATATGGCTTCCAAATCCTGCACAATTTCCCAGTCTGTACAAAACAGGAAACTACAGTTAGTTGTGGCTTCCTGCGTTGTTTCATTGCTTGTATGAAGGAAGGGGGCAAGTGGGACCAAACAGGCTGTACCTGCCACCTCCACCCCCTTTCAGCTGCTATGTGCAAGTCTAAAAAATTTCATGCAATTTAATGAGATACACTTAAGATCGTTTTTTACATGTAGTTTGGCCCTTAAGCATATGCATCAGAAAACCAGTCAAGGTTACAAATTTTGAAACTGTCCCATGCAAACAGTCACCTGGTTGGGGGGGGGGGGCTTTTTACATTCAAGAGATCCCTGAATACATCATTATGCACAACTAAGATCTCTGTCAGGTAACTGGGGCTGATATGAAGGGTGTAACTATTTGTAACAATTAAAAAATTAGAAAATGCATTCACTTAACTCAGACAAAGTAGCAATTTAAGCTGGAGAAGAGTAAGAACTATAAATTACCCGGATCTCGCATGGCCAGTCACAAGTGCGCTGAATACAGATTCTGTGATTGGGAGCTCCTTGCTTTTCATAAAACCAAGAATCTTGCTGCAAGATGAAGAACTAAGTCAGCTATGTTTTTCTTTGGAAAATGCAAGTAAAACAAATGTACTTTATACTGAAGACTATATGCTGAAGTAAAACAAAATAAGATATCATTTAAGTCTTGTAATACTGAGTTAGTACTAAGACCTTGAGATTACCATTTTAAATACAAAGAGACAATTAATCCAATATTTTAAAACATATTCTGGAAAAACAGTGTATGTTCATTGCTCCTAACCCTATCTTATGTTATATATTCCTCTTTTAACCTAAAAAGGAAATTCCTGATTAAATTAGTACTGTGCAGCATAAAAACACATCCATGCTTTCTCCACTGGCTAGGTATTTTTTTCTTGTACCTTGTTCCTTTCAAGTTATACAAATTCCAATTCTTCTCTTGCATACAGTGGCTGCATTCACATGAATACTGTTGCATACTAGCCATTTTTCAGAACCAAAACTGTGGTCATCATTAACTATGGTTAGTTTCAACAAGCCAGTTTCAGAAGTCACAATATTCAGCTGGCTTGTTTGAAAATAACAATAGCCAAGTGTAATTTTTTTGGATAAAGTTATCCCTTTTATATTTTTCAATGGACTTGCATTATTCAATCAGTGAAATTTGTTTCTTTGTTAAAATTTGTTTCATGTTTAAAAATATCAACAGTGAAATCGTATACACCGGGGTGGAGAACTGGATCTAGCCAAATCTTTGCCTTCCTTACTCCCCGTGGCCCAAATCTTACAGGCAAGCAGGACTGCTCACTTCTCAATCACCTAATGTCACTATGACATCAGGTGATATGGGGCTTTGAAGTCCCAAGAATGAGCTGATTGTCAGCCCTTCAAAAGCCTCTCTAGCCCAGTTGCCTTTTTACTTGTCCACACTGACATCATATCAGGTGCCAGATGATTGGCAGGTGGGCAGAGCTTGGTCAAAATGGCCAGGCAGATCAAATGGGGAGACCTTGGGCCCCTCCCCGGCTAATAATGCCTAAAAGCCAGTGATTCCCCACCCCTGCTATACATACTTATCTAGGAGTAAATGCACTGAACTCAATGAGACTTCTGGGTAAACATGTAAAGGACTATGCTGTAAGATGCATTTTAGCTGTAAAATATTTAGGTCCATTTATGCAAACCCTTACCTAGCACCATCAATATCACCCTTGCTGCAATAGGCAGCAATCAGCCGCTGGTAAGTGACCTGCAAAAAATATGACGAAAATAAGACTTGCTATTTAATGAGTGGTGGTGAGTTAAAAGTTGGCCAAAAAAAATGCCTTTATGAAAGAAGTACATACTCGGTTGGGCTGAACATTAGCTTCTTCCATTTTTGTTAAGAATTCAGTTGGAGAGAATGTATGCCCATTCTGAAGGTAGACCTTTAGCAAAGCATTGTAATGGCTTACATCATACACAACACCTTGACAAGAGATTATAAAGAAAAATTAAAATTCAGTACATTAAGAAGTTCAATACGATAAAATAATTCAATGCAAATACTATCATAGCAACAAATTCAGGCATAGATAAGAATGCACAACTTCTGAAAGTGCGTGAAGGTATATTTCTAAGTCCACTAAACAGTGTACCTTTGTAATGCAACGCCTGAAACAAACATTAAACACATGTTTGCAACACAGCGCATCTTAAGTCTACAGCCTGTTCATTACACTGAGGAAGTATGGATATTATTAAGGTCAGTTCAGACATTATATTCTCAACCCTCCTTCTATACTCCCATTTGTGACTATGGTTTGCAGCTACATGTATTAAGAGAGGAAATCCAAGCCATGGTGGGGGAAGGTCTATGTAAGCCTAAATATTGTTCAGGTAGCATACAACTACTGTTTGACATTATGTTTAAGCCAAGTCTGGTATTAAACACAACCACTATTTAATATCTACTCACAAACCAAAGCTCTAAGAACTATTACCAGCGGGAGCAATTGGGATATTGAACAGAATTCTGGATAATTGTTTAGCAATGCAAAAAGTAGCAATATTAAACTAAAGTCTCTCTCTCTCTCAAAAATGTTAAGCAACAAATTACCTGACTTCATTGCACAAAAACAAAGCTTGGTTTTAATATTAACACCTCTAGATGTCAGTATAGCTCTTGGAATCTAAAAACAGATTTCCAAGAGTTGTATCTGCAAGTATTTAAAGAATGTCAGCTACACATTTAGTATCTAACAGTATTTTAATTCCATTAAATTTTACACCAGAAAAAAAATAAAGCACATGCTAAAATAACATTCATATGACTTATTTAAGAAAAAGAATACCTAGTCCTTTCAACTGGGTCCATATGGTATGGGCAAGTTCTGTTCTTTCAGCTGGATGATGCTCAGGCAATAATGAACCACAGGTTCTCAACAACAGTAGGGCCTGGTTACTACTTGGGTATCCTAAATTAGAACAAGATACATGAAACACAACATGAACAATCACTACGTAACCTAGAAGGCAATAAAATCTATTAAAAGGGGGGGACTACGCATAGCTTTGAAAAGTTTAGAAAAGCATATCCACACTGTTCTGTGACATCTGACAACAGAAAAGGAGATGCAGGTCAAGATTTGCAACATGGGGGAATTAAGAACTCAATCCTATGTGTATCTACTCAGACATAAGCCCCACAGTGTTCAATGGGGCTCGCTTCCTAGTTTAATTTAATTTAGAACTGCTGCTTAGACATACCACCTGGGAAAGTATTTGAACATGCATGCATTTTGTAACATTTTCTAGGATACAGGTAGGTAGCTGTGTTGGTCTGATGCAACCGAAATGTGTGTGTGTGTGTGTGTGTGTGTGTGTCCAGTAGCACCTTAGAGACCAACTAAGTTTGTTCTTGGTATAAGCTTTCATGTGCATGCACACTTCTTCAGATACCAGCACATGAAAGCTTATACCAAGAACAAACTTAGGGTCTCTAAGGTGCTACTGGACAATTGTTTTATTTATTTATTTTTGATATATTTTCTAGGATAGTAAAACTAGAGGCATTGGGTTGTATCCAAGTTTTACTCAGAATACACCCTCCAAAATTAATGGACCTAAGTGTCCATTAATTTCAAAGGGTTATGACTAATGTAGGGTGTTACCCACCATGTTTTCCTGACGTGTCTCAAACTATTGTTGAAGAGTTTGACTTACAGTAAGCGTCCCAGATGGTATACTTTAAATGGAGCAACTATGTCCTGCAGTACAAATATGTGGAGGCAGAAAGTCAGCTTAACTTCAAAATTCTGATAGTGTGGCCACTGCATATGTACATAAAATGTGCTCTAGTGCCATATATATGCAGCTGAGCCTGTTTTGCCTATAGTTTGTAGTATGCAAGTGCCAATGTGCATATGCACACACTCGTTCCTGGAACAACTCAATACATTTGTAGCATATTTATGAAGGATTTAGTAACACATGAGTGCACAGTGTCACATTTCTCAGGAATTATTTTTTGAAACAGTTCTTCTAAAAACGCTCAGATAGCACCCCAAATTAAGCCAAATTATGCATCAGATTTGAGAACAGAAGAGAAGGTGACCAAAAAAATGTGTTTTAAGCAACCTAACTGCCAGAATGAAGTGGTGCAATAAGCAGTGCAGACATGACAATAATCACATAAATTAATGATTTAAGTTGATCTCTGTTTATGCAGAATATATATACTGAGCTTCTGCTCTTCACTGGGAGCACAGCGTGGGGTGGGGTGGATCAGTGCTCCTTCCATGTAAGCTGAACAACTTTGCCAAGCTGAAAGAACACTCATGTTCTTTATTTCAGTTTAGAAAGAAACAAGGTACTGATCCCACTTTTACAGGGAACTGCTCAGGAATTTCTAAAAAGTTTCCCCCAATGAAAGCTTTACGTTAGGAAATAATAAACTTTCTATAAAAAGGTAAAGGTACCCCTGCCCGTACGGGCCAGTCTTGACAGACTCTAGGGTTGTGCGCCCATCTCACTCAAGAGGCCGGGGGCCAGCGCTGTCTGGAGACACTTCCGGGTCACGTAGCCAGCGTGACATTGCTGCTCTGGCAAGCCAGAGCCGCACACGGAAACGCCGTTTACCTTCCCGCTAGTAAGCGGTCCCTATTTATCTACTTGCACCTGGGAGTGCTTTCGAACTGCTAGGTTGGCAGGCGCTGGGACCGAACAACAGGAGCGCACCCCGCCGCGGGGATTCGAACCGCCGACCTTTCGATCGGCAAGCCCTAGGCGCTGAGGCTTTTACCCACAGCGCCACCCGCGTCCCTAAACTTTCTATACATACTGCCTAATCAGCCTGTAACCTCAAAAGAGTAGCTCACTACTATCTGCTGACTGAATACATGTGCAAGAATAAAATTGGGCTCCATAACATCTGATGCAAAGCAGTATATAACTTTTCGCCTTGCTTAGCTATTAGCCATCATTTCTAGTTGCCACTGGCCACCCAATCCTTGCAAAGAAATTTCTCTCTTGTCTCACACTAGATAGAAGATGGGAAAAGAGAAACAGCAATGAAGACTCTTTTGTTTTCCAAAGCATGAGATAAGAGAAGAGATCTGCCAAACCAAGGAATAAAGTGTGAGAGAAGACTCTTACCCAGGCGTCCTCAAACTCAGCCCTCCAGATGTTTTTGGCCTACAACTCCCATGATCCCTAGCTAGCAGGACCAGTGGTAAGGGACGATGGGAACTGTAGTCTGAAAACATCTGGAGGGCCGAGTTTGAGGAAGCCTGCTCTTACCCAATGCTCTTGCCAATTCCGCTATTAGGAAAAGCCTAGGAAGAGCTTATGTCCCCCCTTCCGAGTTCTCTGCAATTCACAGATAATTTGGGGCAAAAACCAGTCACCAAATGGTCCATCAACATCTGGAGTTGTGGCAACCAAATAAGTGGATGGATGATTACAATTAGGGTTAGCACTACAGGAAAAATGTCTCCAAAATGTAATGGTGGTTTCCTTAAGCTCTGTAACATGCAGATGAAATCTCAACCAAAATAAGGTTTGCCAGATTAAGAAACAAGACTTCTGTGTCACACCTGAACATCTTTAAGCAGCAGTGGCTAGGGCAACAGATACCAGCACAAGCTGCTCAGTCTGTGGAAACTCATGCTGCACTTAAAATACTGTATATGTCTTTTCCTATGTAGGAATTATTCCCATGTTAAAAAAGTAAAATACAGAGTGATCCTAGAGGCAAGGAGAAAGGAAAGGGTTATTCCCCCTTTCAAAAAGACACTGATATTGCTGCTTCTTAGCAAGATGTGACACTGCAAAACCGCAAGCCAGCCCACCTTTTATGCCCATTATTTCAACTCACACTGTAGAAATGTAATCCCATACAGTTGGCTTTTCAACCTCCAGGAATGGTGAGCTGCAGATGCCCTGATGAACGAGCCACAGCTATGTACACTTTGGGTACAGAAACAGAAATTCTGCTATGGTTTAGAAACTTGGTTGGATCCATGTTGCTAATATCCACTTATATTGACCCTGTTAATTTTTCTTTTTCCACTTTGTTTATGTCTTAAAAGAGCTAAGAAAACGAGCAATGTACACTCGAAGAGTTGCTTGACCTGATCAAGTAAGGGAGATCTATGCACTGAAATGGCCATCCATTCGTGCAGCTGTCACACGTGCATCTGTACCACTACCACAGGCCACATTGTGACTGGAGACACCTTTTGTTATGCACAGCCTGCGCAGCCCCACTTAGGCCTGCAGGTCTTTAGGTGCAAATTGTTGCCCGTGTTTTAAGAGCAGGAAATCTGTTGGGGTGGTGCGACTCTGCCACCCGCCAGCAACTTCACTGCAACTTATCGGACAGTGAAGTGGGAAGATTGGGGCTGGGCACGTGGATGGGCAGAAACAATCTGGGGCTCCCACCAGAGCAGCCGTGCAGCCTCAACCCCATTGCTGCCCTGCCCCCTCCCTCTCGTTAAGTGACAGCAATGGGAGTGTGGTGGCACAGCAAGCTTCAACCACACCTGCTATGGAGTTGGTCTGAGGCCAGTATAAGCAAAGTGAATGATAAGCAATGGTGCAACCCTATATTCATGGAGAGCAGGGTATCTCCGTGCATCATGTGCTATTGCCATTCAGAGGGCACTGCATCCTGGAGGGCAATTCCATTACAGCTGAGGCTATTCAACTTTAGGCATCTTACTAGCCTGCTGCTGGCTCTTTGTTCCTGCTTCTGCTGGGAATATGCTGATCCACTGGATGCTAATGCTTAAAATGCAGGATGAGCTTGTCGTTAAATGGACCCTGCTAAGGCACAAGAGAAGGATTATAATAGGGCTTCATGAGGGCAGGGAGCGAGCTTGACTTATACCAAACCAGACCCGTGGGTACACCTACCTCATGACTGTCAGTAACAACCAGCAGCAGCTCTCCAAAATTTTAGGGAGGAATCTTTGCTTGCAAAGCATGCGCTCTGCCACAGAGCAATGGAGCCTTTCTCCACGTTTATACAAATGTGCATAAGCCACCTGCTTTTATTTTGGAGAAGAGCAAGCAGAAAGCCAGCGAGGGGCCCCCAATCCAGATCAGGAGCACATTTCAGACTGGAGACCTGGGGCTGCTTTTTTCCAAAATAAAAGCATCCAGGTTAAGCACTCTTATATAAACATGTCACATGAAATTTGGTCCTTACTGCCAATGCTAGTTAAAACAGGAATACTGTTAAAATGTTTGTGCCCTACAACTATTCAATTTTCACAAATTACATCTGCAACCCGAGTAAACGGAGCTCAGTTTATTATTGCAGCCACCAAACTGCTAGAAATAATGTAAATAAAAAATGCTACAACTATTTTTGAAGCATTTTAATTGCCAAGGATTTTAACAAAACGTAAGGCAAAACCATGCTGTTAAGCAAAAACTTGATGTTAGGTAAATATAATGTTAAGCAAAATAGTAACACTTTACCTGTTCTGCACACATCATGAAAGATTCTTAATAGAAGGTTTTTAGTAATGCGCCCAGTTCTTCTGATAGATTCATCCAGTTTATTCAAGGCCCAATCAAAATGTTGTGTCTGCTTGCTTTGAATAGCTGTAGGGGGTTGCTCTTGAACTTCTCCCTTCTCTTTAGTTGCAACTGTAAAGAGCCTTGCTTGGTAGATCAGATGCCTACAAAACAAAACAAATCCCGCTTTGAGGGCAGATAACAGCTATACTTGTGTCTTACATTTGCTGAGCATTCAGAGCTGAAGCAAACCTCAAGAGTTTTAGGGGTAGGAAACAACAAGAGCTAATAGTTCTCTGTTTGGAAAGCACTGAAAGAAGGAAGCTGGCCAGAGAATAATAGAATCTTAGAGTTGGAAGGGACCCAAGGGTCAACTAGTTCAACCCTTACCGCATGGAATTAAAACCTGCAAAGCAGCACTCAACTGCAAAAAACGCTATTGTACTCTGCTTGTACATACATACATATGTATACACACGCACACAGAAAAGAGCTGCAAAGTAATAAGTGGAAGCTATGACAGCTGATGCTAAAGAGATTGTGGTAAGGAGGACAGAAGAAAAATGGGGGCCTGAAATATAATGTACTGTCACCTTTTCACCAGGACCTACCAACTTGTTTTAAACTATCTAAAGCAGAAATGGGCAACATTTTTTAGTCTGAGGGCCACAGTCCCTTCTTGGCAATCCTCTGAGGGCCACGTGTTAGGGGTGGGTGGGGCCAGAGGTAAAAGTGGATAGAGCAATGAATGTCACTTTTACCCTTGTAGAGTAGGGCTACACACAGACCCTCTGTCTTCCGTTCAGGCAAGCAAGCCATTATCAGAGATCAAGCAAGCATTTCAGCCAGGCACAAAACACTAAAAGGTGTGTAAAAAGGCCGGTGAGGAATGTGGTCTGGGGAGAGTCCCAAGTACCAGACGGAAAGACTTGGAGGGGGGTATTTAGCCTCCAGGCCTGAGGCTTTCCACCCCTGATCTAAAATCTACCCTAGCCGCTGAAGACAGCTATGGAGAAATGTAAACTGGGGGCTCCCAGTTTGCATTTATACGTAATGCTAAAGCATGGTTCAGTGCTACATAAGACATGCTTGAGCAGAGGGCTGCAGGCTCTCCACTAATCCATCCTTCTTCATACCTGGGAGCACAGTTTTAGCAGGTTTTTATTTTTAAGAGTCTGACTAATTTAACAAAGCAAGTCCATAACCAATGGTTCAAAGTTGGCTTATTAAACTCAGCAGATTGTTTCAAATTGGAATCTCTTGGCTGAATGTAACTTTAAGCTGAAATTGTGTAAATTTAAAACTAACTCTGCTAAAGACCTCTTCGCAACTGTGCGTGAAGAGTGTGGAGCATGCAACTCTAAACCATGGATAAATACAACACAGGAATGTCTTAATGAGCCTAAGGCATTCCTGTGTTGTATTCATCCATGGTTTAGCATTATGTGAACATGCATCCATTCTATGCTAGAAAATTCTCCAGAGAATATTCTCTAAACTGCAAATTCTAATGTAAGAACCAGTTTTACAACCTACATTTTAAAAATCTAGTAAATAATAAGTCAAGCTGTGATATTACCAGTGTAATGAATAATGATTTTTTTGATCCAGTTACATAACCGGGCATTGTGTCATTCACCAGTGTCAGTTCTGAAATGTGAGCTACAGAAAATGTTTGGGGTTTTTTTTTTTGGGGGGGGGGGTTGTTTTAAAAATATGATTCATTTATGATTCATTTATATACATATGATTTGTATGTATTTCAACTATCTGTAATAGCCTTTTCCCCTATTTTGGTGTGACCTTATTCTTAGCAATTCTATACCCTTGGCCATACAGTGTGATTTTTTTTTTACAGAAAGTAGCTTTAATGGTTTACACACTTAAAAGTACCTAGGAATAGGCTTACTGTGGACAGAGCAGGAAAGCTTACATGTGTAGCATTTATTTTAAACTTTATCTTGATTTTATTAGTGTTGCACCGAAAATACTGTACCATGTAGATATGCTTATTAAAGAACGTACTCATGTAACAGACCTGAGGGGGTTTTTTTTATATTCCTTTTACTTCAAAAGCTACATTTCATGCATACACAACATAATTAGAATTCAAAGTTGATGGTAAATATACGGTTAGTGGCAGGCTCCGTGATTAAGGTGAGTCATTCACGCTGAATTTTCAATTTCAAGTTTGGTGCAAAAAAAATCAAAGAATGTGAATTCACTGCATTGCCCCATTGAATAAAAGTACCTGTACAGTTTTTGGTTGCCATCTGAACAAGTTTACCCATGAACAAACATGTATATTAACTAATTATATCATTTTCAATGCATTAAAATTATATCTTTTTCAATGCATTAAAATATTCTCTTATTTTAAATGAAATTTCTCTAATACAGTGGTACCTCTGGTTACGTACTTAATTCGTTCTGGAGGTCCGTTCTTAACCTGAAACTGTTCTTAACCTGAAGCATCACTTTAGCTAATGGAGCCCCCCGCTGCTGCCGCACCACCACCGCACAATTTCTGTTCTCATCCTGAAGCAAAGTTCTTAACCCGAGGTACTATTTCTGGGTTAGTAGAGTCTGTAACCTGAAGCGTATGTAACCCGAGGTACCACTGTATTCTCATTAATCGAGAATATTCTCGAGAATATTCTCCAAAAGATTATTCTTGAAATTTTAACATCACTAGGTCAGAGTACCTGAAGTATCATCATTTCCTACATGAAGCTATCTGGACCTCGAGTTCCTATTCAGAATGGCTTCTCTAGGTAAGATAGAGAGGGTGGCTACTGGAAACAGAGCGTTTTTGGTAGTGATACAGTGGTGCCCCGCAAGACGAACGCCTCGCAAGACGGAAAACCCGCTAGACGAAAGGGTTTTCCGTTTTGGAGGTGCTTCGCAAAACGAATTTCCCTATGGGCTTGCTTTGCAAGACGACAGCCCATAGGGAAATCTCCGGGACAGCGGGGAAGCGCAGCGCGTCTTCCCCACTGTCCTCGGACCTCCTCCGAAGCCTGGCGGCGGGGCGGGAACACCTCCTCCCGCCGCCGCTGGGCTTCGGAAGGCTCCTCCGAAGCCGGGCGGTGGGGCGGGAACACCTCCCCCCGCCGCCGGGCTTCGGAACGATGCTCCAAAGCCGGGCGGCGGGGCGGGAACACCTTCTGAAGGCCGGCGGGGGCAAAAGTCTTTGTTCCCCCTGCCTGCCTTCCCGGGACGGCTTTTGAAGGCAGGCGGGGGGGAGCAAAGACTTTCGCCCCCCGCCCTGGACCTCTTCTGAAGGCTGGCGGGGGGGCAAAAGTCTTTGTCCCCCTGCCTGCCTTCCCAGGGGCTTTTAAATCG